TCCACCAGGAGTGGTGATTTTTTTTAAAGACAGTTTAAAATTTCTTTTTATTATTTGGATTCTGGAAAACATGAGTTTGCCATATAGTTTGGTCATCTAAATGGAATAAGCTAGTGATTGGTTATTCAAGAGTACAGGTCATTAACCCTGGAAAGGACACATTACTTTTGAGTGAAAACATGGTTGGAATAGATTTCAGTATTCAGTTTGTGCTTGCTATTTATTATGATGCTGAGGTTAAGTGAGGGCTTGTATCTGTGGGAGGCGAAAAACATCCTTTAGGCTGCCTAAAATCACCTGTATGAAAAACACCTAGACTAAACAAGCACAGCACGCTAGCAAACCATTTGGAATTATTTGTGGGCTGGAGGACATTGGTGATTGTTTTCCTTAGTGTTAAAGCGGGTCTGCCTTTAGGGTTTCACCTGTAATAGATTGTGTCATTGCCTACTGATTTCCAGGTTATTGTGAGGATTGAGTATGGTGGTGTTGTTTTTTTTAAAGTATTTTTTTATTGATTTCAGAAAGAGGAAGGGAGAGGGAGAGAGAGAAACATCAGTGATGAGAGAGAGTCATCAGTTGGCTGCCTCCTTCACGCCCCCTGCTAGGGATCCAGCCCACAATTCTGGCATGTGCCCCGACTGGGAATCAAACCATGACCTCCAGGTTTATGTGTCAGTGCTCAGCCACTGAACCACACCAGCTTGGCAAGGATTGAGTGTTTTTAAAGCACCTAGAGATTTGCTATAGATACTTATTTTTACCAGGGTTACATTAAGATAGATGGGGAGGGGGGCCTTATCCTTGACAGTGTTAAAACTGACACGAATAATTTTCACTTAAGTACTAACTTCCCAATTGCAACAAAAAGAAAACAAGAATTCAAATTCATTTTTCTGTTGTCTTTAAGAAATGGGCATAGTGTGGCTGGGAAAAGAGCCTTCCCTATATCGTTATACTCTACAAATTGAAAGTGCAAATAGAGGGAGGATTCTTCTTGATATAAGATGAAGGAAATCACGTAAAAAAGAAGGAAGGACGGGAACTTCTGGCTACCATGTTAGAAATGTTAGTATAATCAGGGTGATTATGTGTTCCTGACTGAAGAAGAATCAGTAGTTGTAAACCTAGGAAAGTTTGAAGTTTGAAAACATGACGGATTTTTTTTTTTGACAAGCATATTACAACTTACAGTGCAAATAACACTGAAAAATATTATTTGAAAAATAAACTAATTGTAAAACAAAATAAAAAAAGGAACTTATAGTGTAAATGAATGCTTTCTAAAAGTGATTATTTTGGGAAACTACATTTATTTTGATGGTATTGCCCTTGCTGTGTGATGTCCTTGGAAATCATCCTTTGGAGTTCTCTTCAGAGGTACATATATGGAATAAGGCGAGGAAGGGAACTGAGTGTTATCTTTCCAAAAAAAAAACAAACCCATGTAAGAAATTGTCAGTGAAAATAAACTCCCTTCACCTCCCAATAAATAGACCTAAAAGTATTTTGAGCAGTGATGGCATTATTGAAGTAAGTGAAAGGTCTGTTAAAATTAGTCCTTTTTTTGGCTTTTGAGCTGTGGCTTATGGAAAAGATATCAGGTATTCCTCAGTGTTTCTGTCTAAAACAGGTAAGTTGAATCTTTCTCTTCTCTTGTGTGTAACAATTTTATTTCCTTTAATTTTTATTTCTTGTGACCCATTTCTGCCCATTCATTAAGAGACCTGTCTCCACTGTCTCATTTTTGTACGTGTTTATGTAAATTCAGGTGCTATGTAATCAATTTCAGATAATCAATATCTAACTTTAAACCCGTTTTGGTTGTTCTTAGCACTTAGTAGGTTGTGGCTACCTTATCTTGCACCTACCACTCCTACACCAATTATTCCATGTGTATATTTTCAAGAAATACCAGCAAATTTCAACACTGGCTAAGGTAAAATATACCAAAAGGTAAATTTGCAGCATAAGCAACATGTTATCCTTTAAAAGAAACCAAAACAACAAACAGCTAATGAGATATAATTCACATACCATAAAATTCACCAATTTAAAATGTATAATTGACTGGTTTTTAGTATATTCATAGAGTTGTGTAAATATCACCATTACCTAATTTCAGAACATTTTCATAACTCTTGAAAGAAACCCATACCATTAATTGTCACTTCTTTTTTTTTGTATTTATAGAATGATGTTATCCTATAAATAAGAAAGCCATCTAACAAATTCTGATTCAAAATACTGTTTACCAAAAAACTTCAGGGAGTTTCAGAGAAGGAAAAGTGATTAAAAGAGCTGTAAAAGCCCTTGCTGGTATGGCTCAATTGGTTGGAGCATTGTCTCATGCACCAAAAGGTCACTGATTTGATTCCTGGTCAGGGCACATACCCAGGTTGTGGGTTCTGTCCCGTCGGGGTACATATGTGAGGCAACTTATCAGTGTTCTCACAGCGATGTTTCTCTCTCTCTCCCCCCCTCCCCCTCTTCCTCTCTCTCAGTTCAATTTTTATAAAAACTTTAAAAAAAAAAAATCTTTATTGATTTTAGAGAGAGGAAGGGAGAAGGAGAGAGAGAGATAGAAACATCAGTGATGAGAGAGTCATTGATTGGCTGCCTCCTGCACGCCCCCGACTGGGAATCGAGCCCACAACCCAGACATATGCCCTTACCAGGAATCAAACCGTGATCTCCTGGAATCTCCTGGATCCTAGGTCGATGCTCAACTTCTGAGCCATGCCTGGCCGGGCTTTATAAAAACTTTAAAAAAAAGAGTTGTAAAAAGAAAATGAAAGAAAATATGGGAAAGCATAATTAATCTTAAGTTTCCCTTAGAACTCTTTCAAGTGAAATGTAATTGTTCTAATAAATGCTGAATGACCGTTATTGCAACCACATAGATTACCATATGATACTTAAATAATTATAAAGAAAACTCCTTTAAGACAATAATTAGAAAATATTTTACAGTGAAAGTTAAGTAAAAGGTTTTGGAAATTATTAGAATGGTTCACTTAAAAAACTAACTCAGGCCCAGCTGGCATGGCTCAGCGGTTGAACATCCGGAAGATCGAGGTTTGATTCCCAGTCTGGGCACATACCTGGGTCGTGGGCTCGATCCCCGGTGGGGGGGGGGGGGCAGGAGGCAGCTGATCAGTGACTCTCATCATTGATGTTTCTATCTCTCCCTCTTCCCTTCCTCTCTCTGAAATCAATTTAAAAAAAAAACCCCACTCAACTAATTCAGCAGTTCTGAATTACGTAATTACAGGTTGGTTTTATCTGTGAAAACCACACACAATATTAAGTATTGGTACGTAACCAACAATTATATAGACTGCTATACCAAAGGAAGATGCCTTTCTCAATGGCAAAATAACAGAGAAATGTAAACTGAAATTGCAGAGCACTGAAAGGGAGCCCACCATTATTTCCTCTTATTTAAATCAACCGTCAAAAAGAAAATCTTTTTTCTTTCTATTTTATTTTACTTTAAAAAATTTTAAATTAAATTTTTGGGAGTAACATTGGTTAATAAAATTATATAGGTTTTAAGTGTACCAAGGCTATAATATATCATCAAGAAGAAAATCTTATTGGTCACTTCCTATCCCTCCCTCTCCTCAGCCCCTGGCAATCATTAATCTACTTTCTATCTCTATGGATTTGCCTGTTGTGGACATTTCATGTAAATAAAATTATTCAATATGTGGTCTTTTGTGTTTGGCTTCTTTCGCTTAGCATAGTGTTTTCAAGATTCTTCTGTGTTGTAACACTTACCAACACTTCATTTGTTTCTATGTCTGAATAATATTCCATTATGTAACTATACCATATTTTGTTAATCCATTCATCATTGATTGACATTTGGGTTGCTACCTTTTAGCTATTATGAATGCTGCCATGAACATCTGTACAATTTTTTGTATGGATTTTTTTTTTTAAGCCTCACCTGAGGATATTTTTTCCATTGATTTCTAGAGAGAATGGAAGGGGGGTGGGGGAGAAACATCAGTTTTGTCTCACACACACCCTGACCACGGATGGGGAACCTGCAACTGAGGTATGCGCCCTTGACCAGGAATCAAACCCACAACCCTTCGGTCCATAGGCCAATGCTTTAACCAGAGAGCTAAACCAGCCAGGGTTTTTTATGGATTTTGTTTAATTTTTTTTATATATATACCTCAAAGTGGAATTACTGGAACCTCCAAACTGTTTTCAAAAGTGGCTGCACCATTTTATATTCAATTAACCAATGTATGAGGGTTTCAGTTTCTCCACATTGTTGCCAACACTTGTGTTTGTTCATCTTTTTCATAATAGCCATCCTAGTGAGTGTAAAGTGGTATCTCATTGTGGTTTTAATTTGCATTTCCCCTAATGACTAATGATATTGAGCATTTTCATGTGCTCATTGGCCATTTGTATATCTTCTTTGGTTAGACATCCTTAAAGCTCAGTAATGGTGGATACTGTTTGGAATGCTATTGTTCCGATTAACTTTCTTCTTTTATTTGATATTAAAGAGTTTTTGCTTCATTAATTAAAATGTTTTAACCTATTCTTGAAGGTTGTTTTAGAAAGCTAATCTAGATACAGTTTTCTTCTATGAAAAAATTATATTTTGTATCCTGATTTGAAATGTCCATAAAGACAGTTTGTCCCCATTCTGATAAGCAATGAAAGACAAGTAAAATGTTTAGTAGACCCTTTTTGGTCCAATTTTTATTGTAAGTTTATATCTCTAGGCTGAAAGAGTTAGCAGAGGGAACAAATCACAAGTAGGGAACGCAATGGCTCATTAAAGCTTTGTTTTGTTCCATACATTTTCTGAAAACACTCACTGACCCTTAGTTAAGAGAAAGGTCTTAAGGAATATTGATCCTTGACATAGCAACTAAAGTTGAAAGCACTTTGCACATACATGTAGGGGAAACTATGACATTGGCATGAAAAAGTACATGATTTCATCCTTAATGTCCTTCTCTCCCCAGCGTGGTACCATGCGACGACGCTATGAAGATGATGGCATTTCAGATGATGAAATTGAAGGGAAAAGAACTTTTGACTTGGAAGAGAAACTTCACACCAACAAATATAATGCAAATTTTGTTACTTTTATGGAGGGAAAAGGTCAGTATTGTTTTAGTTCAGACCTGTAGTCCCTTGATGTAGGAAGTTTGGACTCTGGGAACTAGTCAGCATCTATGAAGCCAGAATATTGCCTGTTGATGCTATGATGCTATTTGTCTTTATTTTCTCTTATTACACAGTGCCACTCACACCACCACTCCCAAATCCTCCCACCCTGTGAATCATTCTCTGCTATATTAGAAGAAGTAAGCATTTATTAGGGCAGGAATGTTGTTGGAATTTTTCCCTAAAGGTCTCTTCTTTTTCTCCTTTCCCTTGGTTTTGGTTTAATTATGAATAGTACAATAAAAGCCCTTTTATGCATGTACCCGCCCAACCAAAACTGAGGTGTGTGATTCCCTATGTACCATTGCAGCTTTGCTCGTTGGCAAACTGACAGGGATGTCATGGTATGTATTGTAGTGGATGGAATTACATTTTTTGGCTATTAAGAGGGTGATGATAATTTCCGCCTAAGATTTATGAGATGACTCGTTAACCCCCTATTGGTTAAATTATGAATTTACTGTGGAAATATAGACTTAGCAAACCCCTGAACCCAGCTTCTCAGTTCTTTTTCCAGCTATACCTCTTGCCTTTCTAACGACTGTTTTCCTTTCATGACAGATTTTAACGTAGAATATATCCAGCGGGGCGGCTTAAGAGACCCTCTTATTTTCAAGAATTCTGATGGACTTGGAATAAAGTAAGTGTTCTTGGCCTTATTAGATATGGTTTTGAAATGACCATGTTACACCGAGGCTGTAGACAATGCAGTATTGTTAATTGATATTGATAATTGAAAATAATTTCCTGCCCAGCTGGGAAATCTCTGGCAGGTGAGCATCGACCTAGGATCCAGGAGATCGAGGTTTGATTCCCAGTCAGGGCATGTGCCTAGGTTGTGGGCTTAATCCCCAGTGGGGGGGGCATGCAGGAGGCAGCCGATCAGTGACTCTCTCATCACTGATGTTTCCAGCTCTCTCCCTCCCCTTCTTCTCTCTGAAATCAATAAAGATATATTTTAAAAATAATAATAATTTCCCATTTAGTTTTAAAAGGGCATATATTCCTTTTTTCAGCCCAAATAAGATTGATATGTGTCAACTGGGGAGTTCTTAGTACTTTAAGAAAAACTCACACTACCCTGGCTGGTGTGGCTAAGTTGGTTGGGCATCATCCCGTGCACCAAAAGGTTGCTCTTTCAGTTCCCAGTCAGGGCACATGCCCAGGTTGCAGGCTCTATCCCCAGTAGGGCACATTCAGGAGGCAGCCAATCGATGTTTTGCTCTCACATCAATGTTTCTTTCCCCCTCTCCCTTCCTCTCTCTCTCAAAAAAAAAAATTAAATAAATAAATAAATAAATAAATATATATACACACACACATACACACATATATATATATAAAAATTTAAAAAAAAATTACACCAGCCTTGGGCATACATATCTCTCCTCCACATCAAAAATCTCTTTTAGCCTGGCTGGCATGGCTCAGTGGTTGAGCATCAACCTATGATCCAGGAGATCGCAGTTCTATTCCCGGCCAGGGCACATGCCTGAGTTGCAGGCTTGATCCTCAATAGGGGGCCGGCAGGAGGCAGCCGATCATTTACTGTCTCATCATTGATGTTTCTATCTCTCCCTCTCCCTCTCTCAGAAATCAATAAAAACGTATTTTTTTAAAGAAAATCTCTTTAAGAAAAAAACAAAACCTCACACTTACTAGAGAAGTTGTGCTTCTAAGTTGTGCTTGTTGGTGTTTGTTTCATAGGATGCCAGATCCAGACTTCACTGTGAATGATGTCAAAATGTGTGTGGGTAAGTATTAAGCTTGTGGCCTTTGTATCTTTGAGGCAGAGATTTTAGACTTAGGACTAAGTCTTAAATTTCTTAGATTTGAGAAGGCTTAGGAACATTGAAGTATATATTTAATCGAAGTAGTTTATTGCTTAGAAACTATTCAGCAACTGAGAATTTTCTCAGAGGGAGTTACAGAGTTGCTTTGTTTAGCACTCATTAAACTGTAGGACATTTGAACCTCTACTTTCCTACCTACGTACCATTTTTATTTCTATGTGCACATGCACGTGTGTACCCCACACACACCCTTTTCCTCCATGAAGAGCCTGCCTTCCAGGGCAACCTCCCCAGGAAAGTGAAATTTTATATCTTTGAGCCAAGAATGAAGCTTCATATCTGTGATTCTTTTCCCCTGCCTAAAAGCATTAGAGAAATTTCCAGGAAATTTTTTATCAATGCTACATGTGGTAACTAGGCCAAGGTTTGAAAACTTTGTAAACTGAGTAAATACATTATCTTTAATCTGATTAAATTTTATTGTATTCAGAATTAGTAAAAGAAAGCAAATTAGAAGAGTCTAGTTAAAGAAGAAAACTTCCTGTGGTGAGTAAAGGTTCAGGTCAATTTTCCACAGACCATTGTTGAGTGAGACGTGCCAGTGTCCTTAGGAATCCAGAAATGGTCACTCTCTGATACATGATAAGGCAGTAAAATAGATTGGAATCTTTTGGAAATGTTTCCAACAGGACATGAAACAAAAGTTTTCTGATGCTGTCCTACCAGTACAGCATTTCCTCTGTGCTGAAACTGCACTGCAGTCTCTCGCTTTACAAATTAAATATTGCAGTACTATCTCTTGGCCACTTGAGGGCCCTTTTTAGACAGCTGGATAACTCCTGTTTATCCAAGAGGTGAAAGCCACAGATAGCCCAGGTAGAGGAAAGTTCTCTTATTCCCTGTATTTTTTACTCCCTTACTGTTTCTATATTAGATTCCAGCTATCTTCCTGTTGCTCTGTATTTTCTAGTACCTAGCATATTATCTGGAGTGTAGTAGATGCTCAGTTAATCTGTTGAGTAATTAAAATGCTTTTCTATTCTACTCTTTCCAAGATAGAGCTCTCTAGGGAGCCTCAGAAAGACCTACTTGAATACTTACCAGTCCATCACTTGACTTCTTTTCCTAATGGACCTCCAGAACAGTAGTTCCTTGGATCTCTAAGTTAATGGACCACCACAGCTTTTCTCTGTTGGTCAAGCATTCTTAAGGGTTTGTGGTCCACAGATGACCTGCATCAGAATCACCTGTGATACTTGTTATAAATACATACTTCTGGATCTCACTGTAGACTTATCCAAATGTCTGAGCTATAAAAATGCAAGGACTCACTAGTCTCCTTTTGGATTTCTTATCACTTTACCATTTTTCATTTCCTCAATAATATATTTACTGCTAATAATGATCTTTGGAAGCCTTTAGTAACTTTGTATTTTCCAACTAGACCTGTGAGTAAACATAGATATCTTTGCTGTGATTTAAAATAAAGCCATGCCCGGCCGGGCGTGGCTCAGCAGTTGAGCATTGCTAAGGATCCAGGAGATCGCGGTTCGATTCCCAGTCAGGGCACATGCCTGGGTTGCAGGCTCGATCCCCAGTCGGGGGCATGTGGGAGGCAGCCGATCAATGACTCTCTCATCATTGATGTTTCTATCTCTCTCTCTCTTCCCCTCTCCCTTCCTCTCTCTGAAATCAATAAAGATATATGTTTAAAAAATAAAATAAATAAAGCTGTGATGCCCTGGCCAGTCGCTCAGTTGGCTGGAGTGTTATCCCATATACCAAAAAGGTTGCAGGTTCAATTCCCAGTCAGGGGCACGTACCTAAGTTTCAGGCTTGATCCCCAGTCGGGACCCCTGCGGAAGGCAACCTGTCAATGATGTTGCTCTCTCCCTTTCTCGCTCTCTAAAAATCAATAAAAACATATCCTTGGGTGAGGATTAAAAATAAAGTAGTGATTAATCTAACAGACTTACCAGAAATTTCAGCTGATGCCTAACTTTATGTCCAGATTGAAGTCTAGGTGGTTGGGGTTTTTTGTTTCTTTGTTTTGTTTTTTATAGTTTAATATATTTTAATAGCAACTTACTGGAACAGCACAGAAGGCAGACAACATTAAAAACATTTATATGCATGTGGGACAACTGAGTTAGAAAGTATAGTGAATGGATGGAATCTGCTGTATGACAAAAACACTGCAAACACCATTTAGTTGCAATCAGTAAGAAATTTACTTGTTTTTTAAAAATCCAAATGCTGGTATTATCCAGCAAAATCAAGCAGGTTTATTTATAATTGTTACAAAGTTGAACTGCTAACACTTGTTTACTAAAACATTTTGACTTGTGTGAATGCTTTATATCCCCACATTTATATTTTTAAAATTTACACACGAATGAAAGTGGGAGAACTGCCAATACCTGATTTCTGTCTCCTATTTTCCACTTGCAATCATATACTTAGGAGGATGGTTGGGGTTTTTTTCCCCTCTTAGATAACTGATTGTCAAACTGCAGTGAATAAACTATTGGTGATTACAGTAAATCCATTATCACTGTATATACTGTGGGTAATCCAGTCTTCTCTACTTAAAGTGGGATGTTACACCTCCAGTGTCAGTTTATGTCCCAAAAAGAAGAAAACCATTCTATTGTGTAAACTTTATTTGATGGGATATATTGGTTGAGAGTATGGATTTGAACAAAACTGTCCAGGTTCAAATCTCAGCTCTACTCATTACTAGCTGTGTAACCTTGGACAACATTATTTAAGTGTAAAGTGCTTAGAATACTGTCTGGCACATAGCACATGCTCAATAAATGTTAGCTATTACTATGTCATTTTATCTTAAGTGCTCTGGTACATACACAGAGTACTAAGTGCTCTGGTGGCATTGGCAGAGTGGAACTGCTTTTGCTTTGATCTACATTCTTGAAGGAAAGCATTCAATTTTATTTTTAATTTTTTATTGTAAAATACAGATAATATAAAAGGTACCTTTGTGATAACTTTAAAGTATACAACTTAGTGACATTAAATATATTCACAATGTGCAACCATCACTAATACTTAGTTCCAGAACTTTTTTATCACCCCATACGAGAACTCCTTACCTATTAAGTAGTCAGTCTTCGTTCCTTCCTTCCTTCGGACCCTGGCAACCAGTACTCTGCTTCCTGTCTCTGGATTTGCCTGCTCTGGACGTTTCATATAATGAAATGTTGTAGTATAATGTTTTCGAGGGTTATCTGTGTTGTGGCAAGTAGCAGTACTTAATTCCTTTTTATGATGGACTAATATTCCACCGTGTTGGGTGTACCACATTTGTTAACCCGCTCATCTACTGATGAGCATTATTTTCACCTGTTGGCTATTGCCACTAGAGCTCCTGTGAACGTTCATATAGACGTTTTTGAACACCCGAGTTCGATTCTGTTGATACCTTGCAGTAGAATTGCTGGGTTATCTGGTCATTCTGTGTTTAATTTATTGAGGAACCACAAACTTTTTCATGGCAGCTGCACCATTTTACATTCCTACCAGCAAAGCCTGAGAGTCCGGTTTCTCTGCATCCTGGCCAGCACTTCTTTTCCTTTTTATTACTACAGCCGTCCCATTGGGTGTGAAGCAGTATTTCAAGGCATTTGGATATGATTTAGCATTTGCTTTGTCTTGTAAAATATGAAGGGTAGTTTGGTCCATTGCCTCGCGTTATATTTTTAGGTGTATTCTGTCATGTCTACTTCATTGTGCCCATATTCTTGGTCTCTTGCCTGTTATCTTGTATCTGTAACCAGACTGGAAACTCCCTGAAGGCAGGGGATGGACGAGGTCTTAATACTATTTTATATCTGCCAAGGCCAGGTATGTAGTAGGTATTTGTTAGTTTCTTGCAAGTTGAAAAATATTCTTAATATTCCAACAGCAGCTTTTCATTCTCTCTCCCTTCATTGACCACCATTTTCGTAACTTTTTTGGCAGTGCTGCCTTTTCAGTATCTTCTCTGTCAGAATTCTCTATCGCCTACCTCTATTTGGAATTCTCTCTGTTGAACCTTTCTTGCTGAAATTCTATTATTCTTCATGGCCAAACTCAATGAGTCTCCTTCCCTCTCTTTTCCTCTCTGCTCAGTCTAGGTTTTTTTGTGGGTTTTTGTTTTTGAAGATATTTTCCTTTAGTTTTAACTACTGTTTAATTGAGCGCGCCTACTTAAACATTTTACTTCATTGACTTAATTCTCACAGTGGCCCACAAGATGATATTTCTAAGTTATAGAAGAGTATATTAAGTTTCAGAGCAGTTAAATAACTTGCCCAAGTAGTATTAGAGCTGAGATTTACAATTAGGTCTCTTTGGCTCAAAAACCGTTGTTTCCTCCCCCTTACTATTTTGTGCTACCTCTTGTAGCATTCTACCTTTTGTTGTAGTTATGGTTGGTTGAGAATCTGATATAGGTATTTGTGTCCCTTATGGTATCTTTTTCATTTAGTAATTGTGGAATATATGAAAAGGGAGTTTTATATTAGAAATACTTGACAGGTTTGGGAAATAACCCTTTTAAACAAAAGAGCAGACAGGTTGAAATTTAATCTAGTACTCACTAAACAGTGGGTCTTTTCCTCAGTGTGTGGGATAGATTAAGTTCAGTTTCAGACCTGTGTTGCTCAGTGGATAAGCACATTGACTCTAGGATTGGGCTACCTGCATTCTTGTCCTGCTTTTTCCTGCAAGTTACCTATCACCTATTTCCTCATCTGTGAAATGGAGATTACTACTTAGCATTTAGAATTGTTAGAACTGAGTGAGACATTGAATATAAGATTCACCACCCAGCCATGTAATAAACATGACATAGGGAGTGATTGTTGTTTTTAATATTACCCATTGTCTTTCCTATTTTCTGTGATTTGATTTTCTGTTGATTATCCATCTGAAGTTACAGTTGTTTCTTTGTCTATTATTGAGTACCCTAATTAAGAAAGAGTAGTTTGTTTCCTTTCACTTGTATTTTATAGTCTTAATATATATACGGATATCAGTGGTTCAGTAGAGATGATCAATGCATCTTTCATGGCAGGGAGTCGTCGCATGGTGGACGTCATGGATGTGAACACGCAGAAAGGCATTGAAATGACAATGGCTCAGTGGACACGCTACTATGAGACCCCAGAGGAGGAGCGAGAGAAACTCTATAATGTCATCAGCCTAGAGTTTAGCCACACCAGGCTGGAGAACATGGTGCAGAGGCCCTCCACGGTTAGTCTAACCATTTTTTCCACGTTGTCATTGTCACCAAGAGGGTTGTATATTTACTAGGAGAATTTATTTTTGTACATACCAAGATGAAGATGAAGATAAGACAGTCTGATAAGGATAACTTGTATTTTTAGATGGTTCATCATTTTCCAAAATAATTTAATTTTCTATAGAGAGGGGCCATTCTGATTTACATCACCAATAACTTAATTTAGGAACATTGGCCTTTGCATACATAAAGAACGGTCTTAAAATTCACTCTTGTAAGTGCTGTCAGTAGGAAGTTTGCCATATAAATTTTTGTCCTATAGGTTTAAATTTGCTGAGAAGTTTGGGAGAAAACTGGTTTAGAGCCAGTTGATTATTTTATGAAATGATTTCTTGAATAGATTATACTGGATGACTAGAAGCAATAAATTTACACTCCATACTAAAGGAAAGTTAGTTTTTGATCCTTAGCTCTCCTGAAGGTAGATGCTGATTTTACCCAGCATCCTCCTCGGCAAAGTAGTGGCTATCTACAGGACATTGAGAGAACTTATTTTTCTGATGGGGACTGCTTTCACTTTTGAAATATATCTGGTCATTTTCAGACCCATTTTATTCGTTTAACTCCTGACTCAGAACTCACTTTCGTCAAGTATTCCACCTGGAACAGCAGAACTTGGTGTGTACTAATTATTATTTTAAGTCAAGGTCTCAGTGTTTTATCCGTCTCCATTTAAGTTATCTTAATTATACCCTTTGACTTTCAAAGTTGAAATATGGTAATTGCTTATAATATTGCGTGCGTGTGTATTTATATACACACCTTTACTTACTAGTAAGTTACATTGTTATTACATTATTGTTATACTAATACATTGGTATGTATAGACCAACAGGCAAATGTTCACAGTATTTCACTATTATCAGAAGAAGTTATTTTTTGTCATTGCTTCTTATTACTGGAGATGCTATAACTAAACACAGAATTTCTCATTAAGAAAACATTTCCCTACTAGAATGAGAAAAGTCCTTTTTACAGTAATTATTGTTTTTTTGGTCATGTAGAAGTACAGGAAGACAGGAAATATAGGTGCATTTAGCCTTGTTATTAGCCAAACATGGTCTACTTAATAGGTAAAGAATTCAGTTAAGTGAGGGATGTAATAATTACAATAACATATTTTTATAAATGTGTTCCTTAATATTTTTAGAATTTCAATTTAGCCCAGCCGGGCGTGGCTCAGCGGTTGAGCGTCGACCTAGGATCCAGGAGATCGGGGTTCGATTCCTGGTCAGGGCACGTGCCTGGGTTGCAGGCTTCAGCCGATCAATGACTCTCTCATCATTGATCTTTCTGTCTCCTCCCTTCCTCTCTCTGAAATTAATAAAGATATATTTAAAAAAAAAAAAAAAAGTAATATGGTTGTATTTATAAAATTAAAACTTAAGCCTGGCCGGCGTGGCTCAGTGGTTGAGCATCAACCTATGATCCAGGAGATCGAGGTTCGATTCCCAGTCAGGGCACATGCCCCAGTTTCGGGCTTGATCCCCAATAGGGGGCAGGCAGGAGGCAGCCAATCAATGACTCTCTCAGCATTGATGTTTTTCTCTCTCTCTCCCCCTCTCCCTTCTACTCTTAAGTCAGTAAAAATATTTAAAAAACAAAAATATGATCTGGATCATACTTTTTCATTTTTTTAATTTAGAAATGTGTTACACATGAAGCCACCTTTGTAACATCCTTAATTGATTCATTATGTCCCTAGTTTTAATGATAAAAAGTGTTGATAAAAAAATCATTTTATAGCCCTAGCTGGTTTGGCTCAGTGATTAGACCAGAGGCACGGGTCCCGGGTTTGATTCCAGCCAAGGGCACATACCTTGGTTGCAGGCTCAATTTCCAGCCCCAGTCCAAGTGTGTGTGGGAGGCAACCAGTCAGTCTCTCACATTGATATCTGCCTTCCTGCCTGTCTGTCTCTCTCCACCACCCCCCCACCTCTGAAAAGCAATGGAAAAAATATCCTCAGGTGAAGATTTTAAAAAAAAATCATTTTATAAAAATTAGAAAAATACTGTACCATTAAAAGGAGGAGTAGAATCTGTGGAAGGGCTCAGAAGTAGAAATTTTTCTAGAGGACAATGCATAGATATCTTTTAGGTACCTAAAACATGGCCAGAAAGATTGAGCTATTACCAAGGTCACTTCCTAAAAGCAAGCAAGCTTTCTATGACCTTGCTATATGTAAACAGCAACATGCTTATTCTGCTGGGGTGCTACTTATTTATTTACTGTTTTTGGTGTGTGTGTTTTTGCCCACAGTGTACCTCTCCATTTATCTAGATCTTTTCTAATATATCTCAGTAATGCTTCTTAAAAAATCAATTTTATTGAGGTACAGTAGACATACAATAAAATGTACCCATTTTAAGTGTACATTTCAATGATTTTGTGTGTGTGTGTGTTTTTAATGTCTTTTGATTTCAGAGAGAGGAAGGGGGGGTGGAGAGAGAGAAAAAAACATCAATGATGAGTCATTGATCAGCTGCTTCCTGCATGCCCCCAACTGGGGATCGAGCCCACAACCCGGGCATGTGCCCTGATTGGGAATCAAACCACGATCTCCTGGATCATAAGTCAATGCTCAACTGCTGAGCCACGCCGGCCGGACTCAGTGAATTTTAACAGGTGTATTCATTCATGTAATAATGTACATAAGCTGTATAATCTCTTGTTCACTATGATCTTCACACTTTTAGCTTATTAGTACAGGTGCCTGCCAAATGCTAAGCACTGTGCTAGGTGCTAGAGGTACTGTGGAAAATAAGACCATCCTTATCCTCAAAATGCTCAGAGTCTCATGGTGAGAAAAACCAAAAAATAGGCATTTATATAAACTTCAATATGGAAGTGCTTCAAAAATAAATAAATACAGAATATTAGAGCCAGTAGGAAGGACCCATCTAACGTAAACTGGAGGAGAATTGGGGAAGCTCTTAGGAGGAAGTGATACCTAAACTTGACATGAAGGAAAAATGATGTAAAAGAGAAGGAAGACTAGAATTCCAGGCAGAAGGAATAGAATGTGTGAAAGTAAGTGCAGGGAGGGTAACGTGAGCAACTTTCAAGTGCCCATTGTGGGTGCTAGCATAAAGTGGGGTTCTCTGGTGAGACGAGAGAGATCCTTTACTGCTGTCATTCCAGCAATAACTGAGGAATAGATAAAAATTAGATACAATGTGCAGATTTGTTTGGTGATGGGGAAATTAGTTTATGGAAGGCCATGAGCTGTTTTGCATAGTGTATGAATAGATTAGGTCCTAGGTTATTGGACCTCTTGCCAATCGGGCCCTGTATTGGTGCAGAACAGGTAAAAACTGGTGATTATCCCTACTGGAGACTTGCTCTCAAATGGGTGAGGGCATTTAACAAAAAGCCTATCCGGAGCCTAAAGGTTAACCTAAGAAAAAAAGTACGAACCCTTTACCACAGTATTCTCTTGGAAGTCAGACAATACCTAATAATACCAAATAAAGGGAGGCCAAGATGAGTGACTTCTTGCTGCAGGTAAGAAATTCTGACCAGAGTAATTCAACTTTCTCTGAATGAACACTTGATAAAAGAATACTCATGTGTTGCTTAATTTTCCTCTCCCCTATCTGGACATAAGAACTTACAGTGTAGTGAGCAAGTACAATTATTCATTATTTTGTTAAAAGACTTTCCAAAGGATAATACCAGGAGATGGGAGATGCTGGTCACTACATTAAGAGAACAGAAAGTAGATTTTGATTGAGGGAAAGAAAGGAATCTGGTTTTCATTCAGTGTTCTAGGCCCAGCGAATGCTTGGTTAATTAGAACTGGTGGCTCCCCAAGCAGAGCTTTGAAATGCAGCAGCGAATTAACCTTCGTGATTGTTCTTCGTCTTGCTTGTTTCAACTTGCATGTCATTGATGATCCCTTCCAAACACTCTCCCACAGTTTACATCTGGGTGTCCACTGGACACCTGCCTCACATCAATATGCACAAATGGTATGCATTTGTCTAGATGTGTATTGTATATCAAATATATAGATGTTGTTATAAAGCTTACTAGCTACATGTTTTTTACAGTCATAAGTTAGATAGTTACAACATCAGTGCTACATTGGATTCATGGTTGTTTGCCTCACACTTTATCCAGCTGAAACTGTTTCTTAGAGATCAGTGCTTGGGTGCAGACAGTTGAAGGTCCAGGATATGTCACATTTTAGTGGAAAGTGTTCAAATAAGTTCATACTTTTGTTTCTCATTTCCTTCAGCACATAATATCTCCAACAGATCCTAAACTCTGATAATATTATTTCAAAAAATTTTAATATGTAGTTACATGTATTTCTCACAATATCCCTTTCAGGTAATTATTCTTATTTTACAGATGAGTTCCAGGAGTTTGCATATGATTTTGAGAAAACATGACAACTTCTGATTCCTAACCATGTAGATTCATGTAAAGCTCAAATCCCTGCTAGATTTCCCCCTCTCCTCCTCTCCCCTCCTCTTCCCTCCTCTTCTTTCTTTCTTATTTTTGTTTGGTTGGTTGGTTTTTTAACTTTCAGTATCTTAGTTGCTCTAACAGTGTTCCAGCTTTCTGAAAGTTTATAAAGTACTTTCCAGGTAGTGCCTCTCCTTGGATCAAAAAAAATGCAGTTGATTATACCAGTACCAATACAGAAGAGAGGGCTTGGCTGGATACCACTCTGTTATTTAGTCACTTCATTTTGATTAGTGCTATTTTTATAATCATGTTGATGGAAGCATTAGTCTTTATTTTCATTAAATAATAATTTCTAGAATGTTTTCCTACTGATGCTAAGATTCAGCAACAGATTGTTTTAGTTCGCTTATAATTAATTTGTAGTCCTTCAGTGTGTCTTTTGAGAAATTCTATTTTTCTTGACTTTAAAATTCTCCTTAATCCCAACCCTACCTTTGAAACCTAAATGTTTCCTCTTCCTTTTTAAAGGTGGATTTCATTGACTGGGTAGACAACATGTGGCCAAGGCATTTGAAGGAAAGTCAGACTGAATCAACTAATGCCATCTTGGAAATGCAGTACCCTAAAGTGCAGAAGTAAGTGGCTTACCCTGCATTTTCTTCAGTGTGCTAGGGGAAACCAAGGTGATGGCAAGAAATGGTTCTCCCTCAGGAGCCATGCTCTGTGTCCTAAATTATCAAAAACATGAATTCTTTATTAAAGAGTAGCCTTTACAGTTCCAAAGGGCAGAGTGTATGTAAGAGTATTATAGCCTATGATCACATGGTTAAAGAAAAAAACTTATCCTGGTAATGAGATGACTTGCAGTTGCATTCCTCTCACTGACTGGGAGTAGATTAGGTGGAAGGTAGAGGGAGCACACAAGGGAAGAGTGTCGCATTGTGGTGGGGCAGGTCCTCTTTTTCTCATCAGTGAACTAACGCTGCTCCTTTTTTGGGGGGTCAGGTACTGTCTGATGAGTGTTCGAGGCTGCTATACGGACTTCCATGTCGACTTTGGTGGTACCTCTGTCTGGTATCACATCCATCAAGGGGGAAAGGTACGGTCATAGTTGTGATGGGGGTTGGAATCTGACACTGGTTATATGACTTTGCTTCAGTTCATGGGTGCTTAATATACCCTGGAGATTAATCTATTAGGAGATTGTCCCCGCTTGTATCTAGAGAGAATTGTAGATTAAGTTGACCTTCTTGGCTAGAGTTCAGTAGAAATTAGTATTCATCTAGGCCACTGTGATCATGCCAATATTTGCACAGCACTTAGTAAACCTCGACAGTCCTGTTTGTAGATTCCCAAAGCAGAATTCTCCAAGTGAAGGCAAGGAAGTAGTTTTCAAAGGACAAGATAATTTCTTTACATGGAAGCATAAGATAGTAGAAGGATACACAAATTTTGGATAGAGTCACAATGAAATCAGCAAATTGGAATCCAAACCACTTTTCCTTATATGAAGGTATTGATCTGAAATGGGGCTAAAGAAAGCCTTTAAGTCGTTTCAAGAGATGTAAATAGATTTTGAAAGATTATCCTCATTTATAAAGAACTATATTCCAGCTTGTTGGAGTGTTTCTGAATGGTGTGAGAATTAAATGGTAGAATTAATATCAGAGGTTTGTAGTATTATAGGCTTATCTTACCCCTTCTCCTCTTAGAAGTGAATGCATTTGTGAAAGAAAAGTAAAACTGGGATGAAAACAGATAAAGCTTTAAAGCTTTGTGTGTGTGTGTATTAATCCTCACATGAGGATATTTTTTCCATCGCTTTTCAGAGAGAGTGGAAGAGTGAGGGAGAGAAAGAAAAAGAGAAAGAGAAATATTGATACGAGAGAGAGACATTGATTGGTTGCCTCCTGCAGCACCCCCACTGGGGCTGGGGATCGAGCCTACAACCGAGTTACATGCCCTTGGCTGGAATCAAACCCTTCAGCCCTTGGGCCTACACTCTACCACTGAGCCAAATCGGCCAGGGCAAGCTTTAAAGTTTTTAAAATGTGAGGTTTTCTAATCTAGAACAACTGTTTTTCTAAATCCATTTTATTTACTTTGGATCCATTTAAGTGGTATCTTAATTTTTGGTCTTGGTTGCTACTTTGGAACAAAGCAACCCAGGCCTGTCTCTTGAATATTTTGTACCTGACTAATAGGCCAGCCAGCCGGGGGTGAATAAGGGACTGCCTAGGTAACAAGCCGGATGCCCCAGTTCTCTCTGAGGCTTGGGTAGGCTCCTCATTCTATGTTCAAACCTCAGGGAAACCCTAATGCTGTTCGATTAAGTGGAGATGAAAAAATATCTGCTTCTTTGGGGCTCTTAGAATTTCCCAGTGTTCAAGTTCTGTTGTGTGGAAGAATTTCTGGCCTGTTTTCTACATGTTGGTCTTAACTTTGTATCTGTTTATCAGTTGAGGGGGAGCAACTGGGTCATGTCAATGGCTGTTAACAGACTGAAGTTTTTTAACTCACAGGTCTTCTGGCTCATCCCCCCTACAGCCCACAACCTGGAGCTGTACGAGAATTGGCTGCTGTCAGGGAAACAGGGAGACATCTTTCTGGGTGACCGGGTGTCAGATTGCCAGCGCATTGAGCTCAAGCAGGGCTATACCTTCGTCATTCCCTCAGGTAAGCAAGATGGGAAAGTGGATTATCTACTCTAGCCACTTGTTTTTCTTAAATCAAAATGAATTGATGGATTACTACCAAGAATGATTATGATGCTGGGGTACGCAGAAAACAAGTGTCATTTTCTGTCATTATGGAGTGGATGCTGAGATTTATTTATTTTTAAGGCAGTGATTTTCCACTAAAGGTGTATATCAGAATTGTCAATAATGCTTTTTAGATCTGCATGTTTGAGCCCCACATTAGCCCTAGAAATTTAGAATTTCTAGGGACAAAACCTGTTCTGCAGATGATATACAACCCCTGGTTAAGAACTACCTATCCTCTAAAGGATGGCTGTAAAGGCGAGCGAGAGTGCTGAATCTGTGATAATTTTGATCAGGTCACTAGTTCCAAAATAAGTACTCAGAGCACAGCTTTTAGAGTCACAGATATGTATTAGAATTCTATGCATTTACCTGCTAAAACCACTTTCGTCAAGTATTTAAATTCCTGTCTTATTTTATTGTGAGAAGGAAGTGAAAACACGTGTCAACTCTTGTACTGAGCCTGGTTCGTAGTAGGTGCTCCAATAAATAGAAACAGCATTTATTAAAAGTTTGTTGTATGCTAAACACTTCACATTCATTTTTCTCAAATATTTAACAACCTGTTTCCCTTACCAACAACTATGTAAAGTATAATTTATGTTTCATAGAGGATAGTGAGGCTGCAAGAGATTAAATAACTTGACCAACCACTAAGAGAGAGAATCAGTAAAAATGTGGTGTAGAAGTCTTGTACTAGTTCTCTGAGAGAGCCATTTTATAATGTGTGTTTACAGCCACCACCCTTCATTCCCTTTCTTCTAGGCTGGATTCATGCTGTGTATACTCCTACAGACACGTTAGTGTTTGGAGGCAATTTTTTGCATAGCTTCAATATCCCTATGCAGTTAAAAATATACAACATTGAAGATCGGACACGGGTAAGTAATTCTGTTTAACAGTTGATGTGAGCAAGTTTACTTCAGTTAAGACAGATGTTAGATTCATTGATAGTTTGTCTCAAAACTTAAGTATTTCTTTGGGTTAAAATTCAGTGTTCACATTTTGGGAACACTGAAAGAAAAGTTTTAACAAGATCTACATGCTTGGTTTGGGGAACTCCATTTCCTTGAGGTTCTTGGTATCTTAGATTTTTATGGGGCTTTTGATACTGACTTTTTATGGGGCTTTTCAGATGAACTTTTGATAGTCTCTTGAGCCATGTTTTTCCTTTTTATGGTTTTAGAATAACTTGTAATGGGATTTATCAACTCAAGATTCACAATGTTTAAGTTCATGTATCTTTCTTTATTAACATTCAAATTATTGTACTTTAAAATATAAATGTGGCCCGGCCGGGTGTGGCTCAGCGGTTGAGCATCCACCTAGGATCCAGGTGATCAGGGTTCGATTCCGGGTCCGGGCACATGCCCAGGTTGCGGGCTCGATCCCCAGGTAGGGCATGTAGGAGGCAGCCGATCAATGACTCTCATCATTGATGTTTCTATCTCTCTCCCTCTCCTTTCCTCTCTCTGAAATCAATAAAAATATATTTAAAATATATATATATGTGTATACTGCCTTTCTCAACTGAGAGAAATTCTGTAAGAGAATTAAGCACTATAGAAATGATTTGTGTGCCTTAGTTTTCTGTTTTCCCTAGGATGGTACACAGCTGATACCATTCTAGATGTGTAGGAAAAAAGTTAGTTCACTACATGCAATGGATGCCTTAAGGCAAAATTTAGCAAACTTTTTCTGTAAAGGAGCAGATAGTAATACAGGCTTTGTGGGCCATACAACATCTGTCCAAGTATTTAACTCTGCCTTGTAGAATGAAATACTTAAATGCATGAGCATGGCTCAAATAAAACAAAATTTTATTTATGGACACTGAAATTTGTTTTCATATAATTTTTTTGTGTCACAAATGCTCTTTTAGTGTTTTTTTTTGTTTCCAACCATTTAAAATGTGAAAAAACACTCTTAGCTCACAGGCCTTACGAAATAGGCAGCTGACCAAATCCATATCAGCTGCCTGCTGGCTGACCCATGCCTTAGGGGTAAATAGGGCTTAATTCTTTAGCAGACCCTGTTGGTATGGGCTGAATTATGTCTGTATATGATTGAAGTATAAATGGCATTGACGTTAAACAGCAATTAGAGTACAGAATATTTAGGGTTTGTGATGTTCACAACTTGCTCTCAAGTAGTTCAGCAAATAACAGCATATATGAATAGAGATTAACAAGTATGGGGAAATGTTAACAATTGATGAATCTTGGAGAAGCTAGAAAAGTGTTCATGGTACTGCACTTGAAACTTTTTGGTGGACTTGAAAGTTTCCAAAATTAAAAATTAAAAAATAACAATTAGTGAAGAATTGATACTTTTTAGAAGGAATGGGTATTGTCCTGTGTACTGTGAACATGATCAATTAGTTAACTGTTTTGGTACCTATTTTGAAACATTTATTTTGGGTAGGAGCTACTTATTATCTTATACACAAGATAGGTAGTGTTGGAGTTATAGGGATTGCCCTGTTAGTAGAATTAAGAGAGGATGCGGTGCTTTTAAAATAAATTTTTTAAAAGTGAATTTCTGCTTGTTTGTTAAGCATACTAAAACTACAAAAGATAATGAGTTTAGTAAGTTTGAAGTTGTAATAATAGTTAAAATGTTTCAAAAGAGAAAAATTACATAGTGTCATATTAAAATACTCTTACTTAATTCAGAATCATTCTAAGAGGTAATACCACCCAGCTGCTGTCAGTGTCAATCTGAAAATTAGTTTTTAGGAAGCATTCCCCTTTTTAGGCTAAAAATTACTATTATACCCATGGCTTAATTGCTTGCTCAGTTTGAGGGAACAGAGAGAGAACATGTTTTCAATAGCATTGATAAAAGGAGCATTTTATTTCTGCATGAAAGGATTCCTACAGACTGTTAAACTGGTAATAACTGATCTCTATCTAGTTATTTATCAGAAATTGTCAAATTTCAGTATCTAGCCAACATATTATTTCATTTTTCCTAAGTATGGCTTAATTATTTTATTCCAAATAAGGAGCCCTTTTATGTTTCTATAAAATGAAACAGTGTTTTATGTTGGTTTTTTTTCTTGCTTTCCACACCCACCTTTTATATGCCAAATACCAACCTGGCATATGTTTAATATATTACTAATCTCTATAAACTTTCAAAGTTTAATTTAAAAGAGAATGTGAAGAGATGTTTTTATGAAAGAAATATAAAGTGTGTTATAAACTTAAGGCAATGCTTTGGTTACTTCTGCCGTGCCAGTGTAGAAATACACTATTTAAATTTGAGTGTTGGTAATTATTCTACTGACAGTGCTTAAAAAAGACTCAATAATGAGGATTTAAAAATTTTTTTGCAAAAATTTGAACCCAGTCTCAGAAATTGATACCTCTCTGGTATCTGGCTGCACAGGTAAAATCTAATGGGGCAGGTTGGGTGTGTGATATCTTGACTACTATTAATACAGTCTACTGAGTTCCAAGTAAAAATCAAAAGTTTCATGTCCTGTTTTATATTTTCTTTATTTTTACTTAGCAATATTAGTTCTGAACAGAGTCCCAAAGGGCTTTAGAATTTGGAATTGTTCTGAACTTTTAATGAAGACCCTTATAGAAAAGTGTTAACAGTTTTGCTTTTTTTTAAATGTCTTTATTTCAGAGAGAGGAAGGGAGAGGGAGAGAGAGAAACATCAATGATGAGAGAGATACATTGGTCGGCTGCCTCCTGCATGCCCCCTACTGGGGGTCAAGCCCGCAACCCGGGCGTGTGCCCTGACCAGGAATTGAACCGCGATCTCCTGGATCCTAGGTTGATGCTCAACCACTGAGCCACGCCAGACAGTGTTAATACTCTTCAAAGGTGAGCAGAGAAGCTCAGTGTGTTATATTTAATTTGGGGGGACCAACTATTTATCAATTCTTGTGACTCATCCTCCCACTTTACCAGAAGTAAATTAATTTGACTTTTAAATAAGAGAGGAGAAAGTTCGTCTAGTTGTTAAAGTTGTAACCACATAAGAGACCCAGACCCAAAGCCTGGCTTCCCTATTTTGGAAGCTGATGAAAAGTGTATGCCTCTCCTGCCTTGTGATGAGGAAAGTGATCTCATTCCACGGTGATGCCTTGTGACCTGTTGAAGGGTTTTGCAGTCAAATGTTCTACCACTGAGCTGTACCCTTTCTTGGTGAAGGGTTTTGAAAAGGGACTCGCATCCAGATCTCCTCGATTTAGGAAGAAACCTAACATGGAGCTTGCAAAGGAGACGGGGAAACTCGGGAGTTGTACACCCAGAACTGTCTTTAAAATGCTGTTTCGCTTATTCTTCTGAAAGGTAGCCTCTCCAAACCAACACAGTAGACTATACTTAGAACAGTCCTGTCACTGGTTTTCCTCACTGATTAATCCAGGATGATCTGCCTTTCCTTGGCTTTCATAGATCTGAAGGGCAGTTCTTCTTATTCAGCTGGAATAATTTCATGCTACTTTTGGAGAGAATGGAAAGAAAACTGAAGACTGGCTGATGAGGCCATGCGAATCAGTAATCTTGATTTCTGGACATAGCGTCCTGGCAAACTACAAAGTATGAGACAGGCAAGCTGAGAGTTGATGGTAGGGAAAATATTCAGTCTCGTGTCCTGGACTGGACATAGCTAGAAAATGAGTCTCTAATTATACTTTCAGAGATGTAAGGAAATAATAAAAACCACGTAACTTCTTCTCATGTTCTGTTTTTCCATTAGATTCTTTATTCCATGACCGCCTTATTCAGGGTAGAACTGTAGTAAAAGGCAAGAGTGGTTGGCATGCTTTTGTGTTTCGAGAACCCTAAAACATTTTTCTCAGTTACGTATATTGTGTCTTACTCTAACATGTTACTTGTCCCAGAACTGCTTTTAGATGCTTTCCTACTCAACGAAGACAGCTTTTTGGTGGTTCTGAATGGTCTTTCCAAGTACCTTTTATCTTTAGTGCTTGTTTCCCAAGATCAACATTTTCTAGGTTGCCAGATCCTCTTAAATTCTTACTCTAAACACCAGCCTGGGTTTGTAGGTTGACTGGAGAGTTTTCCTAGATTAAATATTGTAGTGATTCTGTTGTCTGACTCTCTTTGAAAATTGATACCAGCTTGCTTTTCTCATTATTTTGCTCCTGTAGGTTCCAAATAAGTTTCGCTATCCATTCTACTATGAGATGTGTTGGTACGTGTTGGAGCGCTATGTGTACTGCATAACCAACCGCTCCCACCTAACTAAGGAATTTCAGAAAGAGTCCCTCAGCATGGGTAAGTGTTCTATCTACACGAACTTTCAAGACACCCTGCAGGACTCAGGGCGAGGCCAAGAATATTCAGCAGGCTGTTGCTTAATAGTTTTGTTTTTATTTTCTGTTTGTTTGTTTTTTACTTATCCACCTGGAAGTATCAAATTTATTTGTTGGAGTTGAACACTGGTTAATAGCTGATCTCCTATGCAGATGTGAATTACTAGGCTAAATGAAATACTCTGGATCTCATCTTTGTCTGAGTTTGTTAGTACTTCACTCCTCAAGAAAGGAATTAATTGTGTAGTATGTTTCTTCTTCTTTTAAATTTTATTAAATTTCTTGGGGTGACATTGGTTAATAGGGTCATAGGTTTCAATTGTACATTTCTGTGATACATGATCTGTATATTACATTGTGTGCCCATCACCCAAAGTCAAATCATCTTCCATTACCATATATTTGGCCCCCTTTACCCTTTACTACCTGCCCCTCTGGTAACTGCCATGCCGTTGTCTATTTGTGTTTATGAGTTCCAGTTTGATATCCCACATATGAGTGAAATTATATGGTTCTTAGCTTTTTATTACTGACTTATTCCACTTAGCACAATATTCTCAAGGTCCATCCATGTCACACATGGCAGTATTTCATCTTTTCTTATGACTGAGTAGTATTCCATAGTATACATGTACCATATTTTCTTTTCTAGTTATGTTTCATTGTGTAAAGAACAGTCTTTGACACAGCAAAAACTAGGAATATATCATCATAACACTATATTCTAGCACTATAATAAGCACTTTGCATACATTAAGTTACATACTGCCAGGCAAGTATTATTTTCATTTTACAAATGGGCACATTAAGGTTGAAGAAGATGTAAAAACTTGTCCATGATCTTGTAAATAAATGGGAAAGCTGCATTTTGAACCCGGTTGGTAAGACTAAAATCTATATTTTTAACTTCTGTTTCTTCAATTTTCATCAAGAGAAATATTTTATTGGATGTCAGGATAGTTTCAGTTATGCATTTTTAGGCTGTCCCATGGAGAGGAACACTGTAATTGCCTGTGGTAACATGTTCCATGGAATGTTTGATCCAAGCAAGATACTTTTTGCTCTAGCATAGTTTATTTTAAAAAAAGAAAAAGAAAAATTTTTATTGACTTTTAGAGAGAGGGAAAAAGAGGAGAGAGAGAAACATCAACAAGAGAGAAACATCAGTCAGCTGCTTCCCTCACACCCCCTACTGGGGATCAAGCCTGCATCCTGGGCACGTGCCCTGACCAGGAATTGAACCGGCAATCTTTAGGTATATGGGACTATGCCCAAACTGAGCCACACCGGCCAGAGCACTTTAGCATAGTTTATCATTCTCATTGAAAATTAAAAATGGTCACCTAGTATGTGAAAGCAGGATACAGAATTGTCATGTACAGCATGATCCCAGTTTTGTTTAAAAATACATCTAATCGTAATCATATTACGTATGCCTAAAAAAGATGGGAAGAAAATACACCATACTTTTGAGTTGTTATCCAGTGTTGAAGGGATGAAGGATGGCTTGCTTACTTCTTTGTACCTTCCTGTATTTTTAAATTATTAATAGTAAACCTGTATTGCTTTCATAATAAAATCAGTGAACATTTAAAAATTCTCCTTTCATTAAAACGTTTATTTTAACTTTGTTTTGTTGGCTGTGTTGCTAGGATTTCAATTCCAAAACTTAATATTATGACCAAAACTTTGAATAAAACTCCTTTTTATTTTTTACTTTTATTTATTTATCTGTTTATCCTCCCCCAAGGATATGTTTATTGATTTTAGAGAGAGAAACATCAATGTGAGAAAGAAACATCTATCAGTTGCCTCACATACATGCCCCAACCGGGGATCGAACCAGCAACCTGGGCATGTGCCCTGACTGGGAGTCGAACCTGCAGCCTTTCTGTGTATGGGACGGTGCTCCGACCAACTGAGCCGCACTGGCCAGGGCTAGGTTTTACTTTTTAGATTAAATTTACTGGGACATTGATTAATGACATCATCTGAGTTTCAGGTGCACAGTTCTGTAACACATCATCTGTACATTGCAAGCTGTGCTCACCACCCGAAGTCTAGTCTCCTGGCCCCGTGAATTTGACCCTCCCCTGCCCTCCCCTGGTAACCACTGCCCTGCTGTCCATGCTGGAGCCTGTTCAAGCTGCTTGTTCACTTGCTGCTTTCAGGTTTAGATCCCATATACACCCGAAGTCAGCGGTTCTTGTCCTTTTCCATCCGACTTACTGCACTTAACGTGATGGCCTCAAGAACCATCCCTGCTGCTGCAAATGGCAGCACTTTACCCTTCCTTTTGCCTGAGTAGCCCATCTGTGTGTACCACGCCTTTACCCTATCATCCATCAAAGGACACCTGGGTTGTTTCCATGTCTTGACCACCATGAATAATGCTGCAGTGAGCACAGGGGCACAAATATATTTATGAATAAATATTTACAAATTTTTCAGGTAGATACCCAGAAGATGGATTGATGGGTCATATGGTAGCTCAATTCTTAATTTACAAGACTACTTTTTAAATATATGTGCTTCATACAGTCTACTTTTTCAAAAGATAATTAAATCATCACCACAAATATGAGTTTGAACTTGAAACTAATTAAGCCATTTTCTTTTATTAATAAATTAATTGGTATGACAATGGTTAATATGAATATATAGGTTTCTGGTGTGAGTTTCTCTGTTACAAGATCTGTATATTGCACTGTGTGCCCCCCACCTAAAGTCATATCTTCTCCTGTCACCATATATTAGGACTCCCTCACCCCTACTCTCTTCCCTCTGGCAACTATCACACGGCTATTTGTGTTCATGAATTTCAGTTTTATATCCCATATATGCATGAAATCATATGGTTCTTAGCTTTTTCTATCTTATTTCTAGCCCATAAAACTGGACTCTTCTCAATCTTTTGAAAATCCAGTTGACCATTACCTCAGTTGTCTTACCAGCTCAGGATTCTATTTTACATATAGCTGTGATTTTCAGCAACAGACATATGGATGTTGGAATAAGGAGAGACCATTTTATTTTATTTTATTTTATTTTTTATATTTTATTTTATTTTTTTATTTTATTTTATTATTTTATTTTAAATATATCCTTATTGATATCAGAGAGAGGAAAGGAGAGGGGGAGAGAGAGAGAGAGAGATAGAAACATCGATGATGAGAGAGTCATTGATGAGATGATCAGCCACCTCCTGCAAACCCCCGACTGGGGGTCGAGCCCACAACCCCGGCATGTGCCCTGACCGGAAATCGAACCCTGATCGCCTGGATCCTAGGTCCATGCTCAACTGCTGAGCCACGCCTGGCCGGACAAGAGACCATTTTAAACACTTTACAACTTCATCATTTATAACTTGAAGGCTTCTCCCATGCTGCCTATTTCAAATCTCATTGATCACATGGCCAAGTGGCACATTCTTACTGCATTTTTTCTTCATACCGGCAGATTTGGAGTTAAATGGGTTGGAATCCGGAAATGGGGATGAGGAAGCAGGGGATCGAGAACCCCGGCGCTTGAGCAGTAGGCGTTCTGTCCTCACTAGCCCTGTGGCCAATGGGGTCAACTTGGATTATGATGGACTGGGCAAAACCTGCCGAAGTCTTCCAAGTCTGAAGAAAAGCTTGTCTGGAGACTCATCATCTGACTCTAGCCGGGGCTCCCACAATGGCCAAGTGTGGGATCCCCAGTGTAGTCCCCGAAAGGACAGGCAGGTGCATCTGACCCATTTTGAGCTCGAAGGCCTTCGCTGCCTTGTAGATAAGTTGGAGTCTCTGCCACTGCACAAGAAATGTGTCCCTACAGGGATAGAAGACGAAGATGCTCTCATTGCTGACGTAAAGGTAAGAGTTGGTTATGTTGCATGACAGCTATTGATCTGGCTAGAACAGTAAATTTCTGGATTCTGAGAAAGAAAGTGCAGGAATTTTGCATAATTTTCTGGTTTAACCAGAAGGAAGTTTAATACATGCATGTGTATGTTTGTGCTGTGCGTAGTGCTTTAATTCCTAGAAAGAGGGGCCTGTTATGAAAATACTAACATTTGTATTTTTAGCTAGGACTTAAATTTAGTCTTAAAAACACAAATTTCAGGCTGATCCTAAAAATGAGAGCCTGAAAAAGTGTTTGTATTAAAAAATATTACTTTAAACTTAAGTTACCCTCAGATGAAGAGTCAATTTCAGAGCAAAAGTGGCCAATTGCAATGTCTAACAGTCTTACCTCAAGCAGAAGAGAGTAAATTTTATTAAGTAGGTTTAGCATATTCAGTTTCAAATTTATCTAGTATGTTTTAAATGTTTTCTCATATGTAACCATTAATATAAACACCGAAAAGTATAAAGCTGAGAATAACAATTTCCTTTTTAAATCAGTGTTTGGAACTATGTCTTGGGTGCAGGGCATGGGTATGTGTGTTAGAAAGCTAGCTCACATATTTGTAATGAGTGTTATTTTTAAAACTTGTCATATAGATTATTTTAAGCCTCAGAAGAAGATATAGAGAATAATTTTATGTCACCTTAAGAAAGATGGGCTTGCCCTAGCCGGTCTGGCTCAGTAGTTAGAGCGTTGGCCCATGGACTGAAAGGTCTCAGGTTTGATTCTGGTCAAGGGCTGCAGTCTCGATCCCAGGNAAGGAAGGGAGAGGGAGAAAGAGAGTTGAAACATCAATGATGAGAGAATCATTATCATTGATCAGCTGCCTCCTGCACACCCCCGACTGGGGATTGAGTCCGCAACCCAGGCATATGCCCTGACGGGTAATCAAACCACGATCTCCTGGATCCTAGGTCGATGCTCAACTGCTGAGCCACACCCGGCAGGGCCATCCCTGATTCCTGATTCAAGTTTTTCCTTAGTCACCACTAACCAGCTGAGGTGCTTCCTACCTTTTGCAGCCATCTCAGGGAAGAATTCCAAAGACTGGAATAGGATCTGAACTTTTTTCTCTTTTTCTTTTTACGATTGATGTTTTCATTATATCTTACTGTTTTTGCATCAGTGAAAAGGTAAAAACTAGAGAAGCTAAAAGGAGTCTAACTTGGTGCAGTTGATCCTCTCCCTGGACAATGGGTTTTATAGTTTGGTTTTATAAGGTTTGTTCTGGAAGAGGTAGGTAGTATCACTGTGACTTGTATTAGGGGAGGAAATGACAAAGTTCGAGGTAGGTGCGGTCCTGTTTCTATCGTGATTAATGCACAGCAAAACAAACGTAGCCATACTTTTCCAGACTCACAAACTAGATCCCAGATTCACTTCCCATCCTTGAATAAGCAAAGGACACTTAGTTGTTTTTCTTTTTTCATTGTGATAGGACACATATAATTACATTTTCCTGAGAATTTGAGTGTAACATCTTTTTTTCTACAGAAGTTTCTTTTTTTTATGTAGCCATTCCATCATGGATACATGTGAGAAACATAAAATTATGACTTTGGGGACTTACTTATATAATGCCTTTAAAAACCCTAAGAAGAAAAGATTCTAAGTTTGTATCACACTAACATTGTTTTGGCCTGGTTATCTGTATTTCTAATTCATGAAAAAGAAAAATATCTTTTCAGTCCTAAGGGATGTCTGTAGATGGATTTGACTCCAAAATCCAGTTGTAGGAAGCCATTAATCATTTACACAAGGGCAAGTGTCATGATTGAAATAGGCAAACTCCTTTCACTATAGTAGTTAAATAAGAATTTCTGAGGTGGCAGAGTGAGTAGTGGGGGGAAATGTAGAAAGATTTGGTTCCAACATAAAGCAGTGAAGAGGAGGCTGCTAGCAACGGAACGAGTTCAGAAGAGACACCTAAAAAGGACTCTTAGCGTTATGAAAGTGTCTGGAGAGCATCCTTGTGTTTATCAGGAGTCATGAAAAACATGGCTGTCAATGCTGGCTAGACAGAGTGGCATAGAGAGACCAGAGCATGAGGACCAAGTGCTGGTAGGATGACTGCTAGGCTTGAATTCTCCCTGCAGAGGCTTTTCCACCCCTTCTCTTACTTACCCAATACCATAGTTAGAATGCAGCTGATGCCAGCAGACAGCAGATTTAGATCCCAGCTTTGCAGGTACTTTCACTTAAGATTAAATGGATTAATCATTCCTACATTTGACTAGTTATGTTTAATCTGAGCTTCAGATAATAGTGAGTTTAGAGCTTAAATCCTTTGAAAATCTGGAGAGAGAAAAGCATTGGACTGGGTAGGTGCTGAATCACTGCACAACTGGAGACTGCAGTGCTAAAGAACTTGGTGTTTGTAGCAAAGAACGCTGCAGTGGAGGGCAAAAGCAAGCTTCATCCACCCTTCCTGCAGAGAAGGGAATTGTTTCTTGCAGCCTCTATGGCTCTCACAAATAACTAGCAGAAGAGATGAGAGGAAAGGTGGTGAGATGAGATGTTCATAAACATATTCTCTTGAAGAAAAGTCTGTTTTACTGATGTAGTAAAGGGGCTTTGAAGGTTCCAAAATGTTAGGTCCTACAGTGATGAAGAGCGAATCATAGAATATACAGCTGGAAGGGGATTAAATGAAAATGGGGCATTAAAAATTATTGACTTATTGGTGCAGTTCAAGGGAAAGTAATTAGTATGTATAAAGTCCTGGTTAGGAGGGATGTGGGTAACCTTGAATCCTAAAACTAGACTAAAGATAGAATGGAGTTCTCTCCTACTGTGAGATATTCTCACATTTCTAAAGCTGAGAAGTTGTGTCCTTGATAGATGTTGAATAAAGAGGCAGGACCTGGAGCAGAATGTATAGTACAATCCCATTAATGTTAGAAAAAGAGTCTCTTTCTTTGTATGTGCATTGTGGGGGATGCCGGAAGAGGGTGCATAAGCTGCTGACAGTGGGTCACGGCAAGGTGTGGTGGGAGTCAGCTGGAAGACTGAGTTTTAATCAGACTTTATTGTTTTGTTTGTGTTTACTTTGGTAATAAAGGAGCTCTTAATATATGTACATAAGTAATAAGAAGCTTTCAATATATCAATGTATTTGGCTGCCTAACTCACCTAATGAAAAATTCAGTGTTGTTAACTATTTTTCTATTTTCCTGTTTGCTCTAAAACATTTAGATAAGCATGGCAACCTTGTGACTTTGGGGCAAGCCTGTTTTTCCTCTACAAATAAAATCTACCTTAGTGGGGTTGTTGTGAAAATGAAGTTAGTGAAGTAGTTAACAAATAAGTATTATTACAGAAAAAAATTAGATATTATAAATCTATGAAATTCATTTATTTTGCTACTTTAAATGATGCCTGCCTACTCAGTTCCAGGAATGAGACTTAGTGTTGGAGTAAATATGCAAACATGCCAGGGACCCAGCCCTCAAGGGGCTTACAGTCCAGTGGTGGAACAGGCATTTAAGTGGGTTAAGAAAGTAAGTGCATTCTGGTTCACAAGTGCTGTTCATGACGGGGCGCTGAGCACCCACTGAGGGTCCAGTGGTAGATTCTTTCCTGGGGGAAGGAGGTGCCAGTCTTTTTAATTCACCAGTTAATAAACTTGCCTGTTAGATGACACAAATTGATTACTACAATATTATATAAATGGCAGAAGCTCTCAATTTGAAAATTGTACTTTGTGGTGCAATAGGCTACTGCTGCTCTGACCTAAGATTCTAACATTTCATTTTGTAATTATGATCTAAAAATTTACCCTAGACTCCATCCCAGGAGTATGATGAGACTGAAACCAGAGTTACAGTTATAAATAAATATAGAAGCACTGACCAGAAATTTTCTTTTATCTGACACTAATAAAGAGAATAACTGGTAGAGGGCCCAGTATAATTAGATCTTAATCCATTAAGCTAGATTAGAAGGAGGAAAGAGCAACCTGTATAAGTAAAACTTCATTTACAATTTTTACTGACAATATAGTTATAATAATTCACACATTCTTACTGAGTAGAAAGTTTTGTTTTTTAAAATATATATCTTTATTGATTTCAGAGAGAGGAAGGGAGAGGGAGAGAGAGATAGAAACGTCAATGATGAGAGAGTCATTGATCAGCTGCCTCCTACACGTCCCCCAGTGGGGATTGAGCCCGCAACCCAGGCATGTGTCCTGAGCGAGAATCGAACCTCGATCTCCTAGATCCTAGGTTGATGCTCAACCTCTGAGCCACGCCCAGCTGGGCTGAGTAGAAAGCTTTAAATAATTTAGCTCAGTTACAAGGCATTTAGGTTAGCTCTGGCTGGTGTGGCTCTGTTGTTTGGGCATCATTCTTTGCACCGAAAGGTTGCCAGTTTGGTTCCCAGTCAGGGCATATGCCCAATTGCAGGCTCTGTTCCCAGTAGGGGGTGTGCAGGAGGCAGCCAATGGATGTTTCATTCTCACATCAAGGTTTTTTCTCTCTCCCTCTCCCTTCCTCTCCAAAAATCAATTAAAAAATCTTTTAAAATGTATATATATTTTTAAAAAGGCAAATAGGTTAGGTTAAAATAGATTTAATTCTTTAAAATGTTTTCATTATGTTTCTATATTGCATAATGTCATGTTCTTACTAATTCTGATCTTTGTTGCCTATCTTTCATTCTGAATTAATAGGAGGGGGAAGTAGGTCTGTTTGATTTGTGATTTGGAAACTTACTTGGAGTGTTTCCTCGGGGCCCTGTTTTGTTCTTTCCTGATGGCCTCTAGAATTTGTACTTGCTACAACTTGAACTTGTACTTTGTTTCAGAGTAACATGTTTCTCTTAAGTATTTGTATTTTATCATCCCTCTAGGTTAGATAGCACTAAGACCAAAATAAGCATTTACCGCCCCAGTTGGTTAGAGCAATATCCCAGTACATCAGAGTTGCAGTTTCGATCCCCAGTCAGGGCACATACAAGAAGCAACCAATGATGCATAAATAAGTGGAACAACAAATCTATTTCTCTCTCTCTCTTTCTCTCAAATCAATATATAATTTTTTTTTTTAAGTAAACATTTTCCAAGACTTCTCACATTGTTAAGGAAAATTTTTCACACATAATAGGCTTATTGAGTCTTTGAATCTTAAGAATAAGTGCGGCCCAGCCAGGCGTCGCTCAGCAGTTGAGCGTCAACCTAGGAGATGGGGGTTCGATTCCCGGTCAGGGCACATGCCCAGGTTGCAGGCTGCAGCCTATCAATGACTCTCTCATCATTGATGTTTCTATCTCTCTCCCTCTCCCTTTCTCTCTCTGAAATCAATAGAGATATATTTAAAAAAAAAAAAGAATAAGTGCGAAGGAGAGATTTAGGATAGAATGACCATATAAATATTTCCAGGAAGAGCTCCACCTAAGAGCACAAAAGTCCCTCCTTTCTTTGGTAAACTTCTGTAAAATTAAAATATGCAGCCCCTGGCAGCAAAGGCCCAGGCCCCAGAAAGACTACTGACTGCACTAGAAACTCACTGAAACAGCTGTCCTGGAAATAAGTAAGAATGTTCCCAATGGTAAGAGCTAGGTTCTTAGTGGCCTGAAATGTTTATTTCAAAGCAGCTTCTGTAATTTCCAAAAAACTCAGGTTACATTTTCGAGAGCGTAAAAATTGCATTTAAAAAAATTAAGAATTACATGAATCTGGACCCACAGTGTGGTTCCCTGTAGCCTGAGAGAGCCCTGTTCAGAGCTTCACCCTGCCTGTGGATCTGTGTAAGGACAGTGGGTAATACCCATCACTCCAGTGGCTGTCAGAAGTCACATCGAGGCATGATAGGGTGCAGGGCTGCTTCATCTAGGGAATCAAGAACGAGGCAGTCGGGACAAACCACTAGCTTAGGAAGTGCTGGTGTTCTGAGGGTGGGACAATCAGGGGCAGAATCATAAGTTCAGGTCCCAGGCGACTGGCAGATGCACATTTGCTGGCTCCCTGAGCCTGGTTCCAAGGCAGGAGAGTAGAGTGCCCTAACCTGAGGTTGCACCTCAGCTAGTTTGACTTGGTCACCACGGAACTGCTAGAACAGCTGCGTAGGCACGTCTCTTACATGGTGGCTCCCAGTCCCAACTGGACGCAGCTATCTGTTGTAGACCGGTTGATGTTAAACAGACACATTGTTTTGAATATCTCAATATTGGTTGGAATGTGTCATTCCTGAAGGTTTTTCTGGAAACCTGTATGCTGGTTCTATATTCTGGGCTGGGAGAGTGGCAGCGAGGGCAGTTGAAGCAGGTTGTGCACAGGAGAAAAGGTACCTCTAGAGGGGCTCATCTTTTGCCTGGCTCTTCCCCAGGGGCCGAACTTTGGGCCACTCACTGTGTGCCTGAGAGGGAGCTGGGAGAGTCGTGTGTATGCAGTCTAGAGACTGCTGGCTAACTAACAATAAGAGGTGACCCTGAAGGAAGGGTGTGGACTGGTACGGGGACTAATGCAGGACCAGATGCCGAACGGGTTAAAGCGTTCCCTCCCTCTGGCTGGCGCCCGTCGAAGTCGGCCAGCAGCGCCCTCGGGCCACCCCAGGTTCTCCTATTGCAGTGGCGGTGGGAGGGAGCAGGCGGGCGGGGCTCGGCCGAGCTCCTCGGGCAGGCTCTCCTCCAATGGCTGGGGAGGGAGGCTTGAAGAGCACACCCTCCCGACTCTGCAGCAGGCCGCCTGGGCCCTCTGCCGGCGAGCCCGGGTCCCCCCCCTGCCATCTTCCGTTGCAAAGCATTTCTGGGAGCTGCATGTGGGTGACGCAGCAGCATTGTTCGCAGGCTGAGGAAGCCGCGGGGAGCTGAAGGTCTCGCGAAGGAGCTCCGAGCGCCGCACACCGCTCCCTCTGGGTAGCCTGGACTGCCCTACCTTATGTACTCTGGGAGATTCCAGAATTTTCAAGTAAATCGGATTTTCCTAGAGGCAGAAAGCCTAACTCCTTCAGCACAACTTCCAATACAGAAAACAAAACAAAGACGCTGGGGAAACTTCAACCAAAAGCCTCAGCAGCTCCAGAGGGACGAGAAACACAAGGTCAGGCGGGCGGGCGGGCGGCAACCCCTTCCTGGTTCGGGGTGTGTTTAACTGTGGGGACTTTGTCTGGCGGAAAGGCAGAAGGATTGCCTGTCGGGCGAGTCCAGGACTAGGCTTGGGTTACTTCGTGTTGGTGGAGCCGTCACTGCACTTGTTCCCTCGCCTGGTGAGATGTGCTTCTGAATTGGGTCGCTTGGCTTTTGGGAGCCCTTTCCCCTTCTCTGCCCAGACGCCGCTGTTCTCTCCCACTTCCTGTGCTGTGTGGGGTGTAGGCTCGTGTTTGAACGTTCTCCCTTCTAGATAGGCGTTAGCCTTCCTGCGCTCCACCCCCGCTCACTGTCCCAAACCCCCTCTGGTGAAGGTTGGTGGCTTCTTTATATGGTTTCTTGAAGGGCCTCAGCTGGAGTCTGCCTTTTTTGATGAAAACAGGGCGTGCTTGGTGGTATGGCCCCAGCAAAATAAGGCTTGGAAGGCAATCTGCATTTCCCTCCACACCCACACAGACCCCAGGAACTGAGTCTGTAGGTGTGAACAGTCCCCTTCCCCCCCCACACAGTTTGTCCACCTACCCTATTCCCCACAAAAATCTTGCCGGTAGCACTAGATTGCTTTGGTGAACAGCTAGGTTCCTTTTCTACTCTTAAACAATCGCAGATCTCTCTCTGCAGTCTGTTTTGCTGAAAGTGGAAAGTCCCTGTTTGTGGACGGCTCTGTGCTCTCTGGGAGAGGAAATGGGCAGAGTCCTACTCCTCGGCTGTGCGAGGTGGGGGAGGGGAGCTGTGCATTCTCTAGCACACATTTTGAATGGACCTGAATTTTTCACCCTAGGGAGGCTAGAACCCATACCAGAGCCTTGTCCCACGAGGCACCGCACCCTGCCTCCTTACCCCCACGCAGCGTGGTGCTAACAGGAGGCTCCAGGATAGGATGCCATAGCAACTCAAAGTAAATAAAACTGCTGGAAATGAAATCAGTTTGGGGGAGGGTGAGAGGCATCTGGAGGCTTGGCAAAGGGGGATCTTCCTAGAGAAGCGCTTCATGGGTGAGAGTTAAAGGGTCTTTCTGAGTCCCAGTTCTGGGACTTGGAGCATGATCCTTAGGCTCAGGAGGAAAATGTTTGGTAGGAAAGTGCCTCGTGCTTCAAAAAGTCCTGGTCTCTAGAGCCCACAGGATCGTGGGAGTGATTATTGAAGAGGGCCCAGCATGCTGACTTGTCCAGGATCAAAGTTTAGTTTTCTCTGAAACAGTTAATATTCTATACTTACCTAAGGAATCGTGTGACTTGTCTTCTGGATTTGTGTTCTTTTGCTATGTCATTACTTTAAGGCTCACGGGGTCAGAGGAAGAAGGATTTCATTCTGCTAGGTTTGGAATTCAGAAATTTCTATCTAAAACTTAAAAGGTTTGTTTCAAAATGACAATCAGAGTGATCCATTTAAGTGGCAGTTTCTTACTGTGGTATTATTCCTTAAGTCATTCAAACTAGATTGGTTAAAGCCATGAGAGAATTATTGCCCCTAAGATTGTTCCTGCCCTGTTTATAGGAATAAAGGCAAATAATTGACTGTGTGTGTGTATGTGTGTAAGAGAGAGATTTGAGATTGAGATTTCTGTAATCAGCTTTAGAAGAGCAGAGCCCTGGGATGAACCAGACATTAAGACTCTGTTGTTCGTATTATTTATTCAGTATTAGCCAATCTTTTCTTTTTTTTTTTTCTTTTTTTTGCCTATTTGCTGACATCTGCAAAATGAAGGCAGTACTTACTACCAGGTAGCATTCATTAACTGGTATAGAAAAGTAAAGGGGCGAAGTAAAGTTTTATTGTCATGTGTAGAACTGTGTGACAAGTAACACTTGTCACCTTGGTAGCGAGTTGCTTCAGCGAAAGTGTCAACAGTACAGTGCGTACACAAGTACCAGGTTGGGGGCAAAGGTAAATTCAAAGTCTTGACAGTACTGCACTAGTTGGTAAGTTTCCTCTTTCGTTTCAATTTACATGTTTTGCAGTGAGTCTATATGAAGTGAAAATAGAGCCAGCTGTTTCCCTGGCCTTCCCCTTGGTGCTTGTGGGGACTGAGGCTAAGTCTGGATGCCGTTGGGAGTGATTGGCTCTTTGTTCACTGTGCCTTGCTTTTCCCCCCTCTTTTCTCCTATCCTGCCCTTAGGTTCTGCTGGAGGAGCTTGCCAACAGCGATCCTAAGTTAGCCCTCACTGGAGTCCCTATAGTTCAGTGGCCAAAAAGGGATAAGGTAAGAAACTATTCTTCTTGACCTTCAGGTTCTAAAGCATTTAGCTGTCTGACAGTTATCATTCCAGGAAGAAAAAGCACAACTAGAAGCAGATAGCTTTTGGTGCATTAATATAAAGGGACAGAAGGTCATTCCTCAGATCAGGGTAATTGGCTATCTTTGGAGGTGAGTCTCTTAACAAAACATCAAACTAGAAGACCTGTCTCCAGGTTCAGATGCCAAGGTATGCATTTGTTCACCAGATGGGTCAGTTCCTATCCTCTGGCCCAGTGATACAGTTATTTTCACAAAATGATTTAAAACTAGTTAAAATAATTACATATATATTTAAAAGGCCAGAGTGTTTCTATGTTGGATTGAGACCACATTCTCAGAGTTTTCCCTTAATTTGAACTTTCCATTATCAAACTGAAAAGAGAAGAAAGGAATTACCCATTAGCTAATAAATTGTCAGTTATGAATTTTTATGATTCTTCAGTTAGGTCCTTTATAATTTTCCCCCCATATCGCCCTTTGTCAATGTTATTGAATAAAAGTAAGTGATAGCATTCTGATCCTGATGGTGAGTCCTGATGGCAGATAAATTAGGCCCTTCTTTGGTGTTCCCCAGCTGAAATTGCCGGGCCATCACATTTCAGGAGTGTTTAGGCAGAATACAAAGATGTGTAGCTGAAAGATGTCTTTAAAGAACTGCCTCCTCCTTCCTAGACTCAGGGGTCCCCTTTGGCCTCTGCTTGGCCACATGGGATTGCCTCAAAACAATTTAGTCATATCTGGATTATTGGAGTGTCTGCTGTGTACCAGGCTGTATGTTTGAGCTTGGACTCAGAGTAATACAGAAATGAACAAGACACATCTCACCCTCAAGTAGTTTACTGCCTCCTTTAGGAGTATGTTCTGAGTAATGATACTCAGGGTAAGGAAATGTTGGAGGGCCCCTGGAGTGACTAGTACCTAGAAAGCTCAGCAGAGTGAGAGGGATGTGGCTGAAGGAATAACCTGAAGGAATTAGCAATCTTTTTCTGTAAAGGTATAATATGTAGATAATGAAGATAATAAATATTTTAGGTTTCTCAGGCCATATAGTCTCTGTCAAAACTTCTCAATTCTGCCAGGGCACATAAAAGCAGCCATGGACAATACATAAGCAAATGAGCATGGTTGTTTCAGTCAAACTAATTTACAGAAAAACAGGCAGCAGGCAGATTTGCCCATGGGCCATAGTTTGCCAGGTCATGTAATCTTCTACCTTCTCCAGTCCTTAAAGTTACCTGATATATTTGACCTCACTGCTTTCTCTTCCAGCTTAAATTCCCTACCCGGCCAAAGGTGCGGGTTCCTACTATCCCCATCACAAAGCCTCACACTATGAAACCAGCTCCACGGTTAACACCTGTGAGGCCAGCTGCTGCATCCCCCATAGTGTCTGGAGCCAGGCGGAGACGAGTACGATGTCGAAAGTGCAAAGCCTGTGTGCAAGGAGAGTGTGGTGTTTGCCACTATTGCAGGGACATGAAGAAGTTTGGAGGGCCTGGTCGCATGAAGCAGTCCTGTGTCCTCCGGCAGTGCTTGGCAGTGAGTGATCTGCTGGGTAAAGAATTTGGGGGAGGGGTGGTGGTGCCAAGGGGACTGAAATACACATTATATAAAGTTATAGAGACTTCAGAGTTGGAAAGAAAAAGTTAGTCTCTCTTTTTAGCTTTGTTTTGTCCCTTTTCTCCCTGGGTTGTAAAGGAACATATCTAGTACTAAAAATTAGCTAGTATAATCATCCAGCCTTACCCAGTTTTCAAATGAGAGACCAGCATTTGAAGGGCAAATCACTGCTATCTGTCCCCTCTCTCTTTAAGTGGAAAGAAAGGACCTCGAGACCAAGGACAGGCTGACTGAAAATAAACTGATCTCTGTTGGTCTCTAGCTAGTTGATTTTCCCTATCTTCTTCCTCAGCCACTTTTCTACCTGGTCTCCATGCTCCCTACATGTTTACTAGAGAATTATAGGAACCAAATCACCCATCTCAGTTAAAGGGAAGCTGAAATTATAAGGATCTAAGTCTGCTCTTTTCTTGGTTTCTATCTTTGTTGTCTTATAGCCCAGACTGCCTCACTCAGTCACGTGCTCCCTCTGTGGAGAAGTGGATCAAAATGAGGAGACACAGGACTTTGAGAAGAAACTCATGGAATGTTGTATCTGCAATGAGATTGTACATCCTGGCTGCCTCCAGGTGAGTTAGAGGCCTAAGAAGCCCCTGAGGTCTCAGCGGATAGAGTGTCTAAAGATACTGAGTGGAGCAGAGGAGACTTGGATATATGTCACAAGAGACTGCCAGCATCTGTTCTGTGGGCCATCAGCTGTTGGTCATATAGTGATGTAACATCTGCCCTGATCCAAATGTCTATAGTGTGTGTCAGGCACTGTGCTAGGCCTTGAGGATAGACCAGTACACCAAAAAAGTCCAGGTTTCTGCCCTCATGGAGCTTACATTCTGGCCTGTAAAGAATGTGTGTGGAGTCTCCAGGCCATCATGGTACTGCCAGTCTATTTTGGAATGCTTCATGGCTGTAATCATCTCTGCTGCATACTGCATCCTATCTCTGGGTATTAGTTCCTGAAAGACAGCGAGAGAAGTAATATTAGCTAACATATAATGAATGCTTAGTCTGTAGCAGGCTCTGCACATCTGAGGAGCTTTTAAAAAAGTTATAAGGAAGTTGAGACCCCAATGTCAGAGATAGGATCAACTCTTCTAGCCTGGACCCTGGGCTGAGGTGTGTTCAAAAGCTCCTACATCATTCTCATGTGCAGCTGAGGCAGAGAGCTGCTGGTGTCCATGCATTCCCTTGTTTAATCTTTAAGAACCCTATGACGTTGGGTCTACCCCATCTCTTCATATTTCTTTAAATCTAAAAGGCATTGGTACTGGTACTCTCTGGTCTTCCCAGAGATGTCAACTTTGTCATGACCAACTGGATGACAATGATTATAAGACACTGTTAATTGTAAGAAGCAGCGCAATTTCAGAAAGATTCAAATGTGAAAAATATGCACCCTAGAATTGATAAAATAGGGTATTATCTCCCTGATAATGGTAATGGTTAATACGAAGCACTTATTATATGCTGGACATTTTTCTAAACACCTCACACAATACATAATTCACTTAATCTTCACCACAGATGGGTATTGGTATTTATCCCCACTTTACATTGAGAACACTGAGTCACAGAGACTAGGTCCCTGGTCTCTGAACCCACATAGTCATAACTATGCCCCACTGTCAAGATTAGGGCTGGCACCATTCCTGTGTATTCAGCTCCTTTTGCAAAGTGGCATGAGAACTTCTGAAGTATATGTGTCAGGAGAAAAGACCCCAGACTCTTAGGAATTTCCTCACGGAGCCTAACTCTGATTAGGTAACCAAGAGTGAGGGTAGCCAGTTTCCCATTAGCTAAAGTGAGAGTAAATGGCACTTGTTTTTTCTCTTGTATGGACCAATGTATTAAGGAATGGGTAACTCTTCCCGGTTCTTCCCAACCATGGCGATTATTGTCTAATAAAGGAGGCTTAAGAGACAGGGTTGTTTGGGGGGGCTGGTTAATGAGACAAATTTTTAACATCCTTGTCTACCTATAGATGGATGGAGAGGGGTTGCTTAATGAGGAATTGCCAAATTGCTGGGAGTGTCCAAAGTGCTACCAGGAGGACAGCTCAGAGAAAGCCCAGGTAAGGGAACTTGATCCATATTTCCATTGTGAGAAGAAAGGAATCGTCAAGCTTAGGAGGTAGCTTGCTATATGATTTGCCTTTCGAGCTTACTCACATGGCTTTCCTGACCCAGGAATATTTTTATATTTTTCCTTTGGTTGTTTTTTTTCTTTCGTTTTGAGTTTTTGTGTTATTGAACATTGTTCCACTTGGGGTCTGCAAATGGCTGAGGTCCTTATATACTCTGGGGCCCTAAAAAAACCAAACCACAGTTGGGCTGTTTGAGAAGGAAAATGAGGTGAGCAGGGTTGCTCCTGTGGAGTGAAGCTTTTGAGGGGAGGCAGTGATTGGGGCAGCTGGTAAATACAGCTGTGTGCTGGAGTTTCCAGTTAGGCAGGTTCACATTTTTGCCATTTTCACCTTTGCGCCTCACAGAAAGCCTGCAGAGCCCAAATGTGTCCTGCAGAGGCCCCTCCCCTGGAGAAAACCAGTCCCATGACCTTGGCCTTGAGCAGCTGTGGTTGCTGGCCCAGTGGTCGCCAGTAATGTCAAAGGGCCAAAAGGACTCTGGTTACTGGGGCGGGCAAGACAAGACCTGTTAGGGTGCATGCAGAGGAGGAAGCTGGCCTAGTGTCAGTCATCCAGGCTCTGGTGGTCTCCAGGTGCACTGTGCAGGAGTAGGGACAAGTGTCCTTGTCTTCTTTCTATTTCTTTCCCCCTGGGCAGTGAGTTAAATTTTTAATCTAAATATCTTTGAGGACAAAGATTTTTAGAGTTGACTAGTGCTAGAGTTCTTACTGCAAGTTCTTATACTAGGAGCAAGGGTTTTTGTTTTGTTAATTTTATTTATTGATGAGAAAGAGTAACATCCATTTGTTGTTCCACTTGTTTATGCATTCATTCGTTAATTCTTGTACGTGCCCTGACCTGGGATTGAACTTGCAACCTTGGTGCGTGGGTATGACGCTCTCACCAACTGAGCTACCCAGCCAGGGCTAGGAGCAAGTTCTTACACCAGCAGATTTTACATTTGTCTTCACTGTGGTGTTCGGCGCTGGCTTCCTTCCTGTAGCAGACTGATGTTAGCAGGTGTTGTATTTTAGTTTTATCTTCTAATGCATTGTAAAAGCCAGCATCCAAAAGATGGTCATTCTCTTCCAACCGTAGTGCGTTGAGAATGTAAGGGTAAATAAAAGGGAGGGTTATTCTGAGGGACAGAAAATGTTGCCTCCTTCATGAAAATCAACTACTACTATGAAACTTGGTGGGACACGTTAATTAGGCTTCATTGCAACATACCCAAGGTGGACTCCAGGAAGGGACAATCTACTGGGGAACAGAAGTGGCATAGGATGAGGTTGGTCTCTAGGAATCGGGTGGTGGGCTGAGTGAAAGAAGCGGCCCAGTAGAGGCGAGCTCAGACACGAACTGAAGGCCTATGGTATTTACTGCTCTCGGGTTCTGCATCCTAATCTGACTGATGTATGGAGGCCTTTTCACCACTAGCATCTCTTTCTTCTATCACAAGCATCTCTTGATGCTTTTCTCCATAGAAAAGCAGTGACCTGTCTTCTCTCAGGTCCCCTAACAACAGGGAGGCACTGATGTGGCTTTTTTGGACCTGTTTTACAGAAGCGGAAGATGGAAGAGAGTGATGAAGAAGCCGTGCAAGCCAAAGTCCTGCGGCCCCTGCGGAGCTGCGACGAGCCCCTCACGCCCCCGCCTCACTCACCCACCTCCATGCTTCAGCTCATTCATGACCCGGTTTCCCCCCGGGGTATGGTGACTCGGTCATCCCCTGGGGCTGGCCCCAGCGACCACCACAGTGCCAGCCGCGATGAGCGCTTCAAACGGCGGCAGTTGCTGCGGCTGCAGGCCACAGAGCGCACCATGGTACGGGAAAAGGAGAACAACCCCAGCGGCAAAAAGGAGCTGTCTGAAGTTGAGAAAGCCAAGATCCGGGGATCGTACCTCACTGTCACGCTGCAGAGGCCCACCAAAGAGCTCCACGGGACATCCATTGTGCCCAAGCTGCAGGCCATCACGGCCTCCTCTGCCAACCTTCGCCATTCCCCCCGTGTGCTAGTGCAGCACTGCCCAGCCCGAACCCCCCAGCGTGGGGATGAGGAGGGGCTGGGGGGAGAGGAGGAGGACGAGGAGGAGGAGGAGGAGGAAGATGACAGTGCAGAGGAGGGGGGTGCGGCCAGGCTGAATGGCCGGGGCAGTTGGGCTCAGGATGGAGACGAAAGCTGGATGCAGCGGGAGGTCTGGATGTCTGTCTTCCGCTACCTCAGCCGCAGAGAACTTTGTGAATGTATGCGAGTGTGCAAGACGTGGTATAAATGGTGAGCAGGGATGCAGGGGCAGGAGTAGGGGTATGGGAGTAGGTGGCAGGTTTTTCATATGAGACAAGCATGCGTCTTGGCATCTGGAGGCTTGTCAGGTCCTAAAGGATTGAATCAACCCAGCCTGTTCCCCAGACTGGGGTCCTGTTAAAGATGTGGCCACTTGTGCCTGCAAGTTTCACGAGGGAAATTTGGCCCTTTGCCCCCTCTCCCTGCTCCATACTTTGTCTCTCTTTATTGGGCATAGGAAACTGGTTTGGGGGATGGATTTGTATAGTTCATGCAGAAACTTCAGTCATGAGATTGTCTGAAAGTCAGTGAAACTTGTCACTCATTTGTTGAGAGCCTGTGATGAAAAAGGAGACTGACTCTCCTGTTGCTGGAGACAGATGATGGCCAGTAGTCCCTGCCTCAGTTACCTCTTCATCTAATGGGAGAGGTGGACGTGCTTTTCAAACAATTTGAAGGTTCTCAAAATTTTTTAGTTTTAATTCTTATTCCCCAAACCTGGACCAGAATTGCTTTCTCCAGCAAACAGGGTTCAGTTTTGAAGCTTCCTGAGACTTAGCTGTCCCTAATGACACCAACAGTTTCTTCTCAAGTTAAACATTGGGGGGGCGGATCCCTAGTGATAATGAACAAAGATTTCCATAGGGCACTGATTTTCCTCAAGCTCCTGGACCCTAGGGCATACCTTTTATATCTGGGTCAGATCCTATTTACAATAGGTCTCAAAGGTGATGCCCAGACCAGTGGCATCACCTGGGACCTTGTTAGAAATGCAGGTTCTCGGGCTTGTCTCAGACCTCCTGACAACCTCTGGGGGCAGGGCCAGGCGATCTGTTCTTAACAAATTCTCCAGGGCTTCTGATACACGCCAAAGTCTGAGATCCACTATATGGTAAGCTGCTTGTTTCTGCCATAGAAGTTCCATGTCCCAGTGGCGAAATTTTTTCAGTCTTGAAATAAAGACCCCATTCTTCACAAACACGAGTTTATTTCCCAATCTGAATTAGTATGTGAGCTACCCAAATTCTCCTAATATTTCTCTTTGTAGGGCTAGCGGGCCTGCCTGGCTCTGTCCCTCGGTTTCCAGGCTGAACCACATAAGACTCCCATTATGTGTCGTCTCCCCTTCTCCTGCCAGCCAGACTCTGAGCTGGGCTGGGGGAGCAGGCACTGTAAAATATTAAACAGAAGCCTGCATGTGGTAGCATTACTTGTGGCCTATGGACTTGTAGGTTGCAGTGGAAAGGCAGGCCTCTCCCTTTCAGTTCTGGCCTGGACTGGCTAGAAAATGTAGAAGTAGCACTGAGGCAGAAACTCAGGGTGGGAAAGGACTTCAGGCCTGGTCATAAAAAGCCGCTTTTGGCTTGATACAGTAGTGGACTCTTTAGAGCTTAAGGCAGGATGAACCGTGGATGTGCCAAGTAGCAACCTGCATCTATTTCTAGGCTGCTGGGAGTGACTGACAAGGGAGAGAATGGAGGCAAGCCTAGCTTCAGGCATTAAGAAGTCAAGAAATTTTGTAATGCTCCCTTCTGTACACTTTGGTAGGAGCCATCCCATTTTAATGCAAATGAGGGGTTATTGTTTGCTGTGTGTCCCTAACAATTGTGCTGTGTTCTCAGCCCATCCAGAGTAAATCAAGGTGAACTGGTCAGGTTACCCACCACTTAACCTTGTAGGATTGCCATAGAGGACAAGCCTTCTTCTTGAAGGCAGAAAAACAACAGGCGTGATCCTTACACGCCTTTAGAAAAACCCAGGGAGAGTGACCCTCCAGGTGCTCTGCTTTTTCCAGAAGCCTCCAGCAGCCTGTGATGGGAGTTCCTCTAACAAGGGATATCTGGTTATTCACAGCTACTTCTCTTTCCTTCTGTCACAGGTGCTGCGACAAGAGACTTTGGACAAAAATTGACTTGAGTAGGTGTAAGGCTATTGTACCCCAGGCTCTCAGTGGCATCATCAAGAGGCAGCCAGTTAGCCTCGACCTCAGTTGGACCAACATCTCTAAAAAACAACTAACATGGCTCGTCAATAGGCTGCCAGGTGAGCAGCCCTGCAACTGTCCTTCAGGGCCTTGGGAACAGGCAGGGAAAGCTGCTTCGTTGGCAGCAGTGAGCCCATACCATAGTTGCCTTTCTGCTTAGCAAGAGATTTACCTGGGGCCACCTTAACTGCCAGTCCCCAAGGCACCACTCAGCTGGCCAACCAATCACTGCACCAGACGAGGAAAAGAAGGGGGTTCCGTGCTGCTGCCAGCCCTGCGGGTCTTCTCCATGGCTACTGAAGAAGGGGTTTGAGTAAGATGTTGCTTTGATCAACCCCTTGTAAGGCCTGTTCCTTTTAGCACTTTGAAGTCTTAGAAAGACAGGAAGTCACATCTGCATTGCTCTGGTAGGAACTAAGGAATTGGTTTTACCACCAAAGCTGGAAGATTTAATATAGGATAATGCTCATGGGAATCTTTGAGCTAGATTACTAGAATAAGATAAGGACATAGTCCCTCTTTCCCATTAGACTGGGAATCCATTTCCCTTAGATCAGCTGCTCGTTAAGGCTTTGGATGTGCCGATAGAGTATTTATTATTGCATATCTATTTCCTTCCGTTGCAGGACTAAAAGACCTCCTCCTAGCCGGCTGTTCCTGGTCTGCAGTCTCTGCCCTCAGCACCTCCAGCTGCCCCCTTCTCAGGACCCTTGATCTTCGGTGGGCAGTAGGAATCAAGGACCCTCAAATTCGGGACTTGCTGACTCCACCGGCTGATAAACCAGGTATGCTCTGTGCCTGACTTCTCTGTGCTCGTCCTTCAACATACTTTGTGTGTAGCTTTGTCTTTCAATCCTCAAAAGCAAAAGTCTCAGAAATGACGCTGTGCAGTTTGAGAACAGCATGATGGAGTGTGTACAAGTACCGGTTAACAGTTTACAACCAAATAACTGCCTACAAACAAAGGAGTAAGTCCATTTTGTGGGCCAATGGCATTTGGGGTCCAGAGAGTATAAAGCCTAAGGAACCTGGGAAGGCTTCCTGGTTGAGGTGGATCATTAAGGGCTGTTTGCATGTGATGGCCTAGAAAAGTGTAGGAGTATGGGAAGAGTAGCAGCATTCCGCGCATACTCTCTTGCTGTGTGAGGCATACTGCAGCAGCTGGGAAGAAAAAACGTCTGGTTTCCTAGAGACTACCCCCACACACTGCTCTCTGAAGGCAGGCCTGGTGTGGGCAGTTGTGCTTAACCCCTGCAAGGGGGCCTGGCCAGTGAGAGCCGAGGCTGCTTGCAGTTTTGGAGCTAGAATAAAGTTAAGAGTTTTGATCTAGGCTTTTTTCTTGCTTGCCCAGGTCAGGACAATCGCAGCAAGCTCCGGAACATGACTGACTTCCGGCTCGCAGGCCTTGACATCACTGATGCCACGCTTCGCCTCATCATTCGCCACATGCCCCTCCTGTCTCGGCTCGACCTCAGTCACTGCAGCCACCTGACAGATCAGTCCTCCAATCTACTCACTGCTGTCGGGTCTTCCACTCGTTACTCCCTCACAGAGCTCAATATGGCAGGTATGCTGCTGCAGTGTTTCGTGGCAAACAGTGCCCCATGCCTCCTGGGGTTCCAGCCCTCCCCGGAGTTTGGCCAGTAGAACTGAAAGAACTTAGGTCTATTGACTGAACTGTTAACTTGTTTCCTCACATCTGGACAAGGAGATGGATTTCTGTCCCTTTTTCAACTGATAGGGGACCAAGGCCTGGAGTGATTGTCAGGTGCCTAAGAGCACGGCCACCACTCAGCTGCAGTTTGGTCAGCCTTGCGTGCAGGGAGCGAGGTGGCAGGGGGCCTTCAGAGGCCAGAGTGCTGAGCCAGGTAGTAATGGGACAAAGAGGGCTTTGGTTTAGCATTTTGAGGAAAAGAGCTAGGGAATTGAGCTACAGAGGCAAGCTTCTATGACTGTACACATAGCATTGTCCGCGTGGTCACTTTCCCCGCAGGTTGCAATAAGTTGACAGACCAGACCCTGATCTACCTACGGCGCATCGCCAATGTCACCTTGATCGACCTTCGAGGATGCAAGCAGATCACTCGAAAAGCCTGCGAGCACTTCATCTCAGACTTGTCCATCAACAGTCTCTACTGCCTGTCTGACGAGAAGCTGATACAGAAGATCAGCTAAGACACACCTGGCCCAGACTGAACAGGAAACCGATCTTCCCCTGACTCCCCAGCCAGGAGAGCTTCTCTCCCCGACCCTGCACAGGCTCTGAAGCCAACGTCACACTCCCTCTCTGCTCTCCTGTCCCTTGAGCCCTTCCCTTACAGGAGGGGCAGAGAGTGTGGTAGACACCAGGCTTACCTGCCTGCTCCTCTCCCTCCTAAGGAAAAGGGAGTAGCAAATTGATCCAAGGGGAAAGCATAGGCTGTGTGCTATCGAGGTGCCTGCTCGCCCGCACGCTCGCCACCTACCTGCCAGGAGGCCAGGTTCTAAGTTTGGGTTGTCTGTGCAACTGTCTGCAATAGGCACTGGGGCCTTCCTCCCCATCCATGGTCCCCACCAGTGCCTGGTTCTGAGAAAACTCCCAGGGCGGAAAGCGGCCCTGTTTCCGTGGCCAGGTTCTCTTTGTGGTGCCCAGTGTCTCTCCTCCGTCACACTCTCCCGGCTAATGCAGGAGGGGCCAGCAGCCCCAGGAATGCCAGACCCATACAGATCACACTGGTGCTGTTGAGGTGTTTAAGACCTCATCCGTGTCTGTGTTCTCCCCTCTCCACTTGTTAGCTTGATCCTGTCCGATGCACCGTGGTAGTTCACATAATGAGGCTACCCCACCCTAGATGTCCCGCTAGTCTCTGTGAGGTCCTGAGGTCCTTGTTGCACTTATTGGGGTTGAGGCTCTTCAGAGGAGCTGGAACTGTATCCCAGAGACACCCCTATTTTATTGCTTCCTAAGCAGATTCTGAGACAGGCACCATCTCCTTGTTCCCACTCCCTCTTTAACCTCCCACTGCCCTTTTCCACATCTTTATTCCTACCTGAATAGGGCTTTCCCAGGATGCGTGTCCTCAGAGGGAGCAGCCTATCTCCCCCAAC